GGTGGTCGGCTAGTATGTGGTCTTAGCACGCTATCACCATTGATTACCACACCTATTGTATGGGAGAATTCCCCAAAGGATGTTTGTTTGCTGGATCTTTTTGGGAGGATCAGCAAGGTTTGGCTGTAGTGTTGCAATCAGATATTCTCGTACGTAGATACTTGTACGTGGAGAAGGACGATACGGCCCATCGAGTTTCTTCACGACATGTTACACAGTTGATGCGGCGTTTTCCTTTGTTGTTGCCGCGATCAGCTGTTCGAGGATACCTGAGAACGTTGCCTTCATACATTTCATTGTTGGGATCGCTAGACCTTGATCGAGTTGGACATATCGATTTGGTGATTGCGAGATGGCCATGTCAAGGGCACGCACGCGCTAGGCATGAAGCGGGTTTACATGATTCCAGATCTCGGATGTTCTGGGAGATGCTACGAGTGTTACGTCATCTTCAGGAGCAGCAGACACGTTCTCCAGCATACATTCTAGAGAACGTACCGTTGTTGGGTGACACTTGGGCTCAATTGATGGCGAGTGTCCATGAGGTCAGGGCATGGATTGGATCTGCCGTGTTGTTGGATGCTGCGAGGGTTGGCTCACGTGCTCATCATGCACGTTTATGGTGGACCAACCTTGTACCACGAGAGATATTGTGTCATGCGTATGATTTTGTGCATCATGATCCTACACTCACCGTTGACAGGATCTTGGATGTCTTTCGATACTCTCATGTGATGAGAGTGGCGGATAGGTCACCCATGGCATTGGTGAACCACGTAGGTCAACATCGGATGGCTTTGCCTACGTTGGTCAGTTATCCGGAATCACATGCATATCGTGATGGGAGACCTGGAGTACTGTGGAGCAGTACCCTACATCAGTTGGTGGAGCCCAACGATGATGAGAGAGAGCATGCAATGGGGTTTCTAACTGGTGTGACCGCGGCTTCTTTAGTTTCAAAGTCGTCGTGTAGTCAGGTTTGTGTCAGGCTATGGAACTGAACTGCTTGACATGGATTGTGAGCTTGGGTTTGGCCGAGCAACGCCGTTTGCGCGTAGATTTGATGGTTGTTACACCACTTATCAGCTCATTGCCTACCGGGACGTTAGTGGCAATGGCAGGGGGCAACTTGAGAGATATTCGTCATCCTTGGAGTTCATGGGACGTGACGAGAGGACTTGCGAGAGTAGACGCCCATGCAGTTGGAAATGTTGGTCACGGGGAGGTTGCTATGAAGGAGGGTACGGAATACCCTTCTTTGGAGGAGGTGTCATAGCAACTAGTGACAGTATCGCCTTCCTCTTGTGGGTCCATGGAGGAGGAGTGGGAGCCATTGATTGGTTCTCAGATCACGGAGGAGAGAGTCGACGGTTTACACAATTCCTACATGACTATAGGAGTTGTTTTGCCTTCAATATGAAGGAGTTGGGTACTTTGATTGGACCCGGCATACGGATAGAGTTGGCTAGTGATACGCCAATCTTCCGTCGTCCCTATCGATATAGTGATATGGAAAGGAACTTGATTCAGAGTCGTACGTTGGAGTTATTGGAGGCAGGATTGGTCGAGATGTCGCATGGTGAGTATGCGTCAGCCACGGTTATGCCGGCGAAAAAGGATGTACATGGCAACTACACGGATAGGCGCATCTGTGAAGACTACCTTCCTATCAATCGGCAAACGAAGGCCGATAAGTATGTCATGCCTACACTTGAGGAAATTTTTGATGTGGTGGGACATGCGAGGATTTTTAGTACTTTGGATCTTCGGGCGGGATACAATCAGTTGCCGATTTGGGAGGAGTACAAAGCCAAGACAACGTTTTGGGGCGTCAACTCTCATAGCAAGGATTGTTTGTATCAGTGACGATTCTTACCCTTTTGAGTTGAAGAATGCATCTGCCGAGTTCCAGAGAGTGATGGACAGGATTCTAGCGGGGCTAGATTTTGTCAGATGTTACTTTGATGATATCTTGGTGTTCAGCGACACGGTGGAGCAACACCAGATTCATTTGCAAATGATGCTTGAGCGATTGAGGGCTCATGGTTTGCGGTTACATCCTGGGAAGTGTAAGTTCTTCCAGGAGAAGGTGGAGTACTTGGATCATGTGATCTACCCAGGTGATTTGGGAGTTCAGGAGGCAAAGGTGAAGGCTATTGCGCGCATTCCTCGTCCAGCGGATGTGAGTAGAGTTCCTGCATTCATGGGTTTGGCGAACTATTACTAGAGGTATGTGAAGGGATTCAGTGCTATAGCAACGCCTTTGAACCAGTTGCTGAAGTCGGATCAGGAGTGGCAATGAGGGGATGAGCACGATAGAGCTTTTGTTGAGCTCAAGGCCAGGTTGGTGGCCGCTCCCATCTTGAGTAGACCTATCAGAAGTCGTCCATACCAGTTGCACACTGATTGGAGTATGTTGGGACTTGGAGCGGTGTTGACGCAGTGTGATGATGAGGGCAAGTAGTTTGTGATTGCGTACGCTAGTCGTTCGAACAATGCAACAGAGTCGCGGTATAGTTCGTACGAGGGAGAATGTTTGGCAGCGGTGTGGGTTGTGGCACACTTCAGGTGTTACTTGTGTGGTACGCAGTTTACCCTTGTTACCGATCATCAACCGCTCAAGTGGTTGATGGGTCTGACAAGCTCATAGGGAAGCTTGCACGGTGGGCTCTCATCTTACAGGAGTACGACTTTCAGGTGGTGCATAGGCATGGAGTGGCGAACTTGGATGCCGACAGTTTGAGTCGGAACCCATGCACTAGCCAGGAGGATGACACTGGAGCTAGATGGCATGATGAGGTTGATGAGGAGATGGTGCCCGGTTGGCATGCATCTGCCTTCATGTGTTGGTTACGTGGAGCCTATAGTAGTGAGGACCACTTGAGATCTTACTCTCATCAGAGAGTAGATAGTCAGTCTTCGAATCCTGAGGTTGAGGATGGTGGTGTGGACCAGCGTGATGTTCACGATGATGCTTTGGTGTTGGAGTTCCCACAGACCAGTATGGTGCCAGGCACAGTGGGTGCCAAGGAGCGAGATCGTGTTCTCCAGCGGGCAAAAAGATACCGATTGGAGGGAGCACATGTTCTTCGAGTGTGGGAGGACGGTAGTGTACAAGTAGTACCGCATCCAACTCAGAGAGCACGCATTGTGAGGCATGCTCACGAGGAGTTGGGACATTTTGAAATGAAGCGTACGTATAGCTTACTCCTTGGTCAGTATTGGTGGCGTGGTATGCATACGCAGGTACAGCTGTTGGTATCACATTGCATGGTTTGTGATCGAGTGAGGGCATCGTTCAATGCCCCGACACCAAAGTCACATCCCTTACCTATCATGCGATTAGGTTACCGTTGGAGTCTGGACTTTGCTGGACCACTACCTTTGACAGCACGACATCATCGGTATGTGTTGGTGATGGTGGAGCATTTCTCCAAGTGGATTGAGTTGGTGGCATTACCTGACAAGGCGAGTGAGGGAATAGCATATGCTTTCCTTGACAGGGTGCTTAGTCACTTTGGTGCACCAGTTGAGGTGTTGACCGATCAGGGGACAGAGTTTTAGGGTGAGTTTCAGGTCTTGTGTGACAAGACGCTGATTGATCACCGGACCACTTCCCGAGATCATCCAGAGGCGGATGGTACAGACGGTGAAGAGAGCGTTGCGCAAGTATGGCCTACAGTAGGGGCATCTTGGGGACTGGGATATTAAGTTACCATGGTTGGCCATGGGATATCGATTCAGTCGTCAAGCATCCTTGGCTTCGTTTTCACCATATTTTCTATTGTACGGCCGAGATCCAGATTTGCCCGCAGCGATTCGTCGTGAGTCTAGCGAGATGGTGAACCTTGATGATCCAGATATGTGGGTGAGAGTGTGTTCTCAACGTGGAGTGCTCTTTCGGAGAGTTATGCTTGCAGCGTTTGAGAACCTTGCGATTGCTCAGCACAGGGATACGTTGCGGTATGCAACTATTCGAGCACGAGGTTATCGACTATCGATTCGTAGGTTCCGTGTGGGAGATTACGTCTATTTACAGCAGACTGCACCGACTACGTTGGATGTGACGGCAGGACGCACTATCTTGCGAGTGCGAGAGGTGTTACCTTCTGGAGTTCTCATGTTGGAGGGTCGTGATGGTGTCGTTTGGAAGGATCATGTGCGCAACTGTGCGCCATGCCACCTCCCAAACCTAGATGGTACTATGGACTCAAGCTTGGCGATTGTCCGTGCCGGCTTGAGGTGCATGTTATGTGGGTCAGCTGATCAGGCGGCCCATATGTTGGTGTGTGATAGGCGTTCTAGGGGATGGCACATGTCGTGCTTGACTCCACCTATCGACGTTGTTCCTACTGGACGGTGGGTTTGTCCTCGATGTACATCAGAGGGTAGATGACTTGATCTTCACATGTTATGAATTACAGATATGCGACTAACGTTGGGACGACATAGCACCCGGCCTACTGGTTCGCGCACCCACGAAGGTGCATAGCATGTAGTTGTAGATAGGGCTACTTGGGAGTCAGAGGGACCTGACCGCCAGCTAGGGGGCGAGTTGTGATACCTTTGTGTGTGGACACTCTCGTTCCTTCTGTATGTATGTGTGAGTGGATGAGTAGACTGACAACGATGTATGTGGTATGACGATACCGAGTCGCACGACAGCTGTCAAGTCGTAGACCGTTAGTGTCTTGGGTCGAGACCCGTTGGAGCCGCCATACCCGTTGGGACCGCCATGCACGTTGGGACGTCGACGGGCTCGGGTTTTATAGGAGGCGAACTCGAAGAACTGTAAGTTCTTTAAATTGAGCTTTTCGCGTCGGGGTTGATCCCCATAGCTTCGACACTTATTCTACTTGTGAGTCGTGGGTCGGGCTCGACTCTTTGTACAGTTTGTGACATTTACCTTCATTTTAGTTGTGATAGCTTTGTGTGTGGACACTCTCGTTCCTTATGTATGTGTGAGTGGATGAGTAGAGACTGACAGCGATGTATCTGGTATGACGATACCGAGTCGCACAACATTAAACTAAACCTAAACTCTGGTCATCTTCGTTGGTTAGTAATTCATCCTTAAAACCATAAAAAAGGATGTCCAAATGTTGAAATGCATTGGGTATGCTGAGACATTTTGAAAACTGGATAAATCTTTACTGTGTAGTCGGCACACGGCACACGCTGCAGTGTATTATACTAACTGCTCCAATACACACGCCAAATCTACTGTTGATACGTTGATGTAAGATACATGTAGAAAGGGCACAGATCAGCCTGCTAACATGACTTGGAAATGTTCCCTGATAATATGAGTACGCAAGATTTGTACTACATACTCAAGAGCAAGAGCCTACTCAGATCTCCTATTTTCGTAGTCTTACAGAATGTGAGGAAAACAACTCAATGTATCGACACTAAGAAAGTCGTCACTACTTGACAATGTGTAGGATGCCCACTTTTGTTGCTCAAGGAGATTTCGTGGCCATTTAACTGCGTACATGATAATTTCGGTGAAAGAAATTTGAGTACATTGGAGAAGTGATGCGGCATCTATTAAATTCACATGATAATTCTGAACAAAGTTGTACTTTCAAGTATCCTTCTTTCTGGAGAGTGAGTCTCAGCAAAGAGCATGTATGAATTAAGTAGACAAGAAATATGACGAGATCCTAAATTCTAAGTGCATATGCTATGCACAGAATACATAAGTACAACGTTGAGAAAACAAACAGCTACCTCGCGTTCTGGAACCTACACTCAACTGGCCACTGCAATTCCTGGCTTTCCAGATACCGTCTTTTGTGGATCTACACTCGGCGCCGCAGGGTATACAAACAACTGAGTGCTCAGAGAAGAGGGTTGAAATCCTGCATTATAACGTGTAGATGTGAACCTAACTTGAGGAAGCTGTTGCATTCCCGCAGCAATAGGGACAAGTTTATAGGAAAGTGCATGTGTGGCATTTGGGAGAATTGATAGGGTATCACTATGAGCTCCGGCAAATATGAAGCTTTGTGTATCGAAGACTGAAAACGATACTTCCTGGAGGTTGGTGGTTATGTTCTGTATGTTCATGGAACACATGAAGGGTACACCCAAAAGGGCATGAGGGGGGCACTCGAAGGTTACAATCAGCGGAGGAAGCTCAACAAGAACTGGAGCAAGAGAAATAAGTCTTGAGAATGGATTCACAAGACTTTGAGAAATATCCGGGACGTTTGAAGGCAAGTGGGACGAATGTTCCCTATGCCAAGCAATCTCAATCGTTCCCACCTCAAGGGCGGATGATGCAATCAATGGCCGCACGTAAAACAACTGTGTAAACACCTCTTCCGGGGAGAGCAGGACACCACTAGAATCTCTACAGGTTCCGGACTTCCTGACTGAGCAAGCCTCGACGTCCTTTTCGACGACATTAATGGATTGCAGATTTAGGGAGAGGCTAGAAGAATTCTTTACTGTGACCACAAGTATGCTAGCTTCGTCAAGAGGCAGGGCTATGACTGATGATCCTGACAGAGGCTGATCTGAAAGCAGACAACCGGGCAGCAAGGCATCTCTTCTGAAAGGAGCGACGTACTGATATGATACGTCCAACGCTTCCTCACAGTTTACAAACATACTTTTTTGAACCCGGAAACGCGGACTCGGGCTACCAGCTGCGTCAGTAATTAGATTCTCTTTCGTTTGGTAACCAAAAAGAACCATCAAGTTTACAGCCTTTGGTTCGCACCACCTTAGATAAACTGTTGTCTCCCACACGTCATTTGGTTCCAAAGACGGTACTTGCAGTGGTCCAATAAACTTGACGTACGCCTCCTCGTCACCTTCGGCACCTGCACGGAGGAGCTCTGCAGAGGCAGCCCCTCCTGATGGTGAAGAAGCAAGGGGTGATGTGCTGCGTGGAGTTGCAGCAAGCGGTGTGTTCGGAGAACCAAGATATACATCAAGTTCTCCACCTCTCACAGGATGCCCCTTTGAGGTGACTACAAGAAGCACAGGAAAAGCTTCGCCAACCACCGCCGGACATGAAGCGACCATCTCAACTTCCACGAGCGGCTCTGCTTCTTCCACCTGAAGTATCTTCTGCCCAAAATAGGCAAGATTGCTATCCTTCACAGGTGAGGTATCTAATCCAGGCTCATGCATCCAGAGAAGGATTCCATCACGAGTGGCTGGACCTTCCACTTGGCATCGTAGTGTGGCATAAGGACCAACGCGTGCAACAACTGCTAAGCACTCAAGCTTTCCACTGTGATCTACAAAACCAGATCCAATACAAGAATCCACTTAGCTTAGATATTCAAGGTAACGTAATACAAATTGACGCAAATGCATCAAAGAGAAAATCAACTTACTGGGAATGACGTCAACCGTGATTCTCTTCCACTTGCTCGGCTCTAGTTCCAGGTCATAATCCACTGCTGCAGGCAGTCCCTCACTAGGTGCCCCTTTATCACCAGCACGCAAAAAATCCGGAAGCGCATCTGTGCTGTGCCTTAAGATAAAGCTGCACTCTGGCTGACTAAAGTGCACTTCAAGCTCCAAAAGAATGAGGTTTAGGGGCAGATGAGTCAGAAGTGACAAAGTTAATGAGGTCTTCACACCAGGTTTGACAACTTGATCGTGAAAAGCGACGTAAGCAGATAGGAATATTCTTAACGGGCTTACAAGGTCAACCTCAAGGGCTATTGGTTGGTCGACTGTCACAGACATACCAATTTCGCCCTCCCGAGCTGGCAGGACAGAAGATGTTCCCTGCAACAAATATATGACCTCTTTATGTACATGCTCTCTTTGAGATTGGCCTAAAGGACCAGCTGGACCAACTTCTGGACCAGAAACCACAGCGTGTTGCACATCTGGACCAAATGTTGGAATTGGAATTGGAAGAGATGCGAGCTCCAAAGCGTACTCCACGTATTCTTGTAGCTGTCCTAACTGTCGAGCACATTCTCTCAAGTATCCAAGGGTGGCACCCAAAATCGAAACCCATGCTTCCTTCCTATACATTCCTGCAACACTGTCAAATAACCGCTTCGCTTTCTCATACTCTCGAGCATTGTAATATTCACGCCCCATTTCGCTCCCAAGCTGGTAGATCATCCGAACGGCTTGTACCTTCTTAAACTGCTCATGGGCCCTCGTGAGAAGATCGATTGCTGCGTGAGAATGGGTAAAGCTCTTTTCCACATATATCAAATGTCTCATGAACTCTGTTGCAGTAGGGCTGCGAAGAAGAAATACGATGTGGCAACGACTAGTCAATTCGTTGCAAGACACCATAAGATTGACAAGCGCTATCACTTCATAACACACATAGATGACTTCAAGTGCACCATGTGTGCAAAAAGCACGCACCTTTGTACATCAACGGTGCTCCCACGTTTCAGTAACCGAGAAGCCTGTCCGACATAGAGAGGAGGACCGATTTCGTCTCGAGGTCCGGCTAAAACATCCACAGCTCCTTCCTCTTCAAACGCTTCAAACGTAGCAAGGGCTGACTCGAAGCAGCGCCTCCTCAAGACCATGTAAGATGCTGCGACCTGGAGAAATTTTCACAAGAGTCAACAATAACACAATTTGATAGTCACAAAAATTCCCAGTTTACTTGATATTTTGTTTATACATACCATGCTTTTTTATGAACATGTAGCAGTTTCGCCGTATACCGGAAGATTCAGAATTAATAAGAGTAACAGTGGGAAGATGTGACCAAAACTCTACAGACGTCAACTACGATATGTAACCTTCTCCAATACCAACTGCACTTCAAACGCTCAATTACTAGCCAAACTAATTGCAAAGCTCTCTTCATCGCCCGACCATAAGCGTGCTTCGGGCAACTAAGAACTTGAACGAAGGAACATGGCTGTCAGCGCAGGAGCACAATAAGATATGTTCGTCTCGAAGACCTTGGAAGTGCAAACCTGAAGGTAGTAGCCGGGTTGTAGCTCACGCTCTGTTACTGGAGGTCCAGGTGAAGGAGGTGTTGCTGCTACAGGAGATGCAGTAGCCAGACTGTTATCAAGTAGCTCGGCGAAAACTTGAAACTGCTTGCAGACCCAGGCCCAGTGCAAAAAGGCACCTTCAGGAGGCCCAACCAGTCGCTTATACCAGGCAATATGCTGCCTGAACCATTTCACAGCTTCACTCTCCTTGCCGCTATGGAGAAGCAACGTTGAGATTTTGAAATGGAGTTGTTCTGCCACAGCTTTGAGCTCAACTATTCTTTGCACTGGTTGTAGCTCCATATGCGCCGTGATAACCTGAGAGAAAAAGAGATTATATTCATAAGACAAGCACCACTTTGATAGAGAAGGCCAGCATGCTCATCCAGATTATACGGAGGTTTAGAATAATACTTTAGGATCTAATCCCCAATAGAACATACACGATGAGCAGCCATATCAGCTTGTGCAAGAAAACGAGATGTATCAAACCATTACAAACAATCCTGTTCGTCTTCCACAAACCTGTAAAGCACACGGACTACTTTTAGGAAATAGGTTCGCAAAGATAACTCGGCAATATTAGTATAGGAGCTAGTATAGGAGTTTCAAAGACCCAAAATATACAGCTTAACAATCTGCTCAAGCCCTATACATATTACACAGACTACAGAAACTCAACCTTGGATAATGAAAAGAAGCACCTCCTGCAGGAGAGAGTAAGATGTTTCATAAAATTTGAGAGCTGTCACCCAGTCCCGCCGAAACTCCGCATACACTGCAACCTATAAGATGAGAGTCGATTTGTTACCTATCACGTGCAAGAACGAAGTGCTTGGTATGGATACTTCACAGATAAATCAGCTGTCCAAGTCAGATGCGCTTAAGCAATCAGTCAATGTAATAGTTTGATAAACTATTCAGGTCAATGAATGGGGAAGTAGACTGCAGTGACGTGCCTGTTCTTCAGAACGTTGAGAGAGAGTGTGGATAGTATTTAAATGATGAGTACATATGCAGTAAAAGCGACAGTTCGCAAAAGCATCGATTAAAACAGACATGAAGTGCAGGTGAGCAGGACTAGATGCAGAGCAACCGAACTCACTGTGTACTAGTTGGTGCAATCTAAACATATATGCGTTCACAAATGACAGTCATCAATAGCATCTGTGAAAAAGATTCCCAGTCATTCCCAATAAGGCTACCAAGAACCTATGTTTGCATAGTGTCCATTGTGTAATACTCAAATGATATTTGCGTCGGCCCCGGAGGTCCTCGCCTTGAACGCACCATTAGTCTTGAAGTTTCGGAGCCTTGTCAGACTAATAATATACCTTAAAGTTATATCGGACACTCAACTCTACGGAGCTATATGTCTTCTTCTCAATTCGAAGCTTAACCCTGCGACCTTCATCCCTGTAATACATACTGGCTAATTCACCCATGATGCTCCCGAGCCTGAAGCAAAATCAAGATTGATTAGCGCAAGTTAAATACAATTTTCCGTGCGGTAGTTTATCGAACACTTTAATTGAGAATCTATTTTCCCCATCCAATTATCTTCTCAAAAACAAACCTTAAAAGAGAACGTTTCAGCTCGCCTGGATCATGGGTTATAAAAATCAGACAGTTCTTTGGGTCTATTTCTGCACGCTTCCTGAGTGCTGTCAGCCTGTCTTCATTCATTTCACCTGCAGAGATAAACAGAAAATCTCAAAATTTATTCATTAAGAGGTACTTGATGATATTATTCACGCCTGCATTCGAAAGAGCCAATTACTTTCCTGGTATAATTCCCATAATATAATAACCAGTTACAATATATCACATTGCATTTTGAGTGGCGCCCCGTGCATCGATAATATATGGAACCGCAAAACTCCACACAAACCTAAAACAAAGATATATTTTGGAAGTGAAGCACATCTCTTCAGTATTTCGAGTTCCAACACGGTAGTCCGATTGGGTGAGACCTCTAACACAACGCTAATGCAACAAACTTGACATACACAGTGGAACTAACCGTTGAGTGACGGCTGGACAACAGCTATGACAAGCTTTATGTTCCTTCCACGGATCACACCCCTGCTTAAGCCACACATAATTACAACAAAACGGACAATTATTCCCTTATTCATCATATTTCATAAAGAACCTGTCCCTGTAAAGAACCGACGCTTGCCATTCTAAGGCCTCCTTGTTGAGTCAAAAAAACTAGAATATTCTCAAAGTTCCATGCAAGACTACAGTATAGGTGAGTCGATTATCAAAGAAGATATTCGAAATAATCGACTCCGCTAGTGTGTACAATCCAGCAAATTGAGGCAAGAAAATTCGGAAAGCATTGGGTGAAGTTCGACAATAATTTGCCAGTTCTTGAATACAGGAATTACCATATAGCAACATTCGAAAATGGAGAACAAGAAACACGAGCATTCTGATACTCACTTTATGATGTCAATGTTAGAGCAAACTTGAAGCCACTGTGCGGGGTCTCCATAAACCTGATCGCAGCTCAAGAGCACAGCCAGTACAGCCGGAGACCTCGTGCGGTGCTTGGCAAGCCAGTCTGCCTTTAAAATGCCAACAGGTGGAGGCATCCTTGCATCGACTGCCTTCCTCTCTTTCCCTCCGATAATCGAAATCTTGGCTATATCCGGAATGGCAAGCGTATTCAGCGGTAGCTGCTCGGTATGAAGAGACATGGAGATTGCTGAGTGTAATTCAGGCATACCAACCAATGCCACTAAGGGCATTGGAGGTGTGCGAAGCTCCTCCGGATACTGATCCATGTTCCTTCACAATTTCACAACCTACTCACTTTCTCCAGAAAATCGATGATCCGCCCACTCGAGACTTGTCAACCATCTGCAAACTCTCCTTCTTCAAAACATTCAAACCAATGCCACAGTCAATGATCATGTAACACCTCTGATTCACATCCACTGCGTCGTTTTAGACCATTTTTCCACCACCACCTGCCAAAACGGACAAGCAAATTCGCAGATCTACAGTGATCTGACTCAGACGGGCACAATGCTGTGATCCAAAGCGAACTATGAGACCTTCGTGAATGTGCCAACCAAGCAGGACGACGTACTCAATGCCTTGATTCTCGAGTACAGCATGAGAAAGTAGTTTTCCGTGCTTTACAGATGAGATGTGCAATTCTTTCTTATTTTCGATGGAGCAAGATACGAGACGTTTGTCGTGACCTGGCGTTGGGAGTAGCAAACATAGTTCAGGATCACAGTCCTTCTCCGCTGTACATCGAAGAGTGTAATACACTGTCTGCCTTACTGTACAATATAACAGTCATGTCGACTGTAGTGCATCCCCAACCGAGTAGACAATTTACGTGGTTCTGATCGCTCAAAATAATGTTTCGTTAGAAGAGAAGGAAGAGTAGGGTAATCTTGCAACGTCAACGGGAGAAGCTCTGACATCGGATTCGGGGAAAGGCATCATTTTCTTCTTGACGATGAACAAATTTACGCGAATGATGACTTTTTAACCTTTGACTTGACTTTCAAGTTGAAAGTCATTGACAATGGAAAACGATAATCGCCCGGGCTTTGTCATTCACCTGTCCTGGTAGATGACTACACTGAAAGGTTAAAAACAAGTGGTCAGAACACGGTTTTCAGAGCAAAGAACGAGGCGATCGGTCCCTCATTAATCTCAAAGGAAAAGACATTTGGTCATCTCCGATGCGTCCAATAGTTTTGTTCATCTCTATTTTTGTCCAAAGATGATATATTAGAATGTTGACTTTTGACATAAGATACTACAATTATAATTGTACATGCCATTTAGACTGAAAATTGTATACATTCTTCCAACTAAAGTTAATTAAGGAGTGGATATCCATATTGACCTACTCACTTGTTGGATGTTAGTTGACATTTCTTGATGTGTCACATAAATTTACACACTCATGTACGAAGAAGAGATCAATGTTTTTATATTCGATTAAATGTAGGCCAATGAAATCTCTTAATCACGTTTTTATTTGGTAAACATAAATTAGAACGTTGAATGTAATTAAAATCAAATTTGTTAAATATCCAATTAAAAAAAATTTATCTAAATTATCATAGTGTGTCACAAAATCATATAGACTATATTGATGGTGAATATAGAGTGTTGTGAGTTGTACAACGAACAAAGTTAAACAATTTTATGCTTTTGGTTACATGCACTATTTAATGATCTTACATCTAAATAGCGAACTGATCTGAATATTTTATAGTCTACAACTCCTTTAGGTTAAAATATCTCTTCTACATGTTTAAATATCCCTTCATGAGCTTAAGTTCACACTATGAGCTATATTACTCCATGCACTCCCAATAATCTTAAATTTGTTTTCTAAATTACATTATATTACACGATGTTCAATCCGTTACTTTATATTTGAAAAAAATTTATAAACAAAATTTAAACCTAAATTTTGATTTTTCTGACAATCAATATTATGTGACAATCAATATTTCTGACTATCAATTTATATGTCTATGAACATAAAGACATACATTTTTTCCCAAATACTTCAAAAAAAATGTCATAAAGCTAATCAAAGACTCATAATGAATTTAAAACATGTTTAAACACAAGATTTGATGAAACTCTCATCAAATCGGTATCTAATTTTAATCTGTAATTTTACAACACAATAAAATACTCAAATTATTTAATGTAAATTATTTTTAATTCACACAAAAGGTTTAGAAGATGCTTGATTTTCAGGTTGTAGAGCTAATTTTTTTAACAATATGTGATTTCTTTGCCACTACGTAGTCTCGTGTCAAGTAAAAAGTGTGCGTTAGTGCAATATATAGAAAATCTTTAACATTTAGTTTTAATATCTATTTTTTATTACAAAGAAGTTGAAAATTATGTTGACTTAAAAGTAAGACATTTATTTTGTCTCAAAATATCTTTATTTGACTATAAAATAGTTAGTTATACTAAGTTATGATTGAGTTAGATTAAAAGCAAAAATATATTGCCAAAGTAATTCTTTTGCTAACTAATACATTTGATATTGTATTATAGACACCAAGTTTTGATTATTTTCAACTTTTTAATATAAAAATTGACTATTATTATCTTGCATTTCAAATGAAAAGATTGAAAGTTCAAAATCTTATTGACATTGTTTGTTTTCATGTTATATCTTCATTAATCATGCTACACAATATTTATCAGTACACTTTATTTATCTATTGAATCATATAATGAAGATTGATAAAGTAATCTAGAACTAATATTTAATGAAATAGCAATTGTGTGTCCAATGCTATTGATTATTTTCACTGTCCATATTGAGTAATCAAAATGATTATATATATTTATATTCAAAAGTTGTTCAAAAGTTGATCATCATCTTTTGAAATTTTTTTTTATAGGTAATCAATCTATGTCACGGTAAAACTTGAGAAATACACGAACACAAAAGTAACGTGGTTCACCCTCGAGGAAGAGGGCCACGTCCACCAAGAACTCATTCAACACTTTACTATAGGTATGGTCAGAAAGACTCTGATATACAGGGTGAACACTGAGGTATTTATCCCCAGTCTAGACGATCATCCTAGCTATAAATAGCTAGGACTCGAGGTTACTCCTTAACTGGAGTTAACCTCAACAATCTATGATAATTAAAATTCATGATATTTAACATTAGATCTCAAAATTTCACACGTTGATATAGATTTTTAGTAGTTGGAATGAAAAATGAATTGATAATTATGAACTTCAGGTATAAATCATCATTATAAGATAAATCAAATTTCAAGATAATGACTTTTGAAAAAAATCAAAATAACACTATACAACTGTGAATTTTCTCAATGTCAAAATTGAAAAGTTCATGAATTCTCAACAAATTTCAAAGCTCAAAAAATATATACAATTATTAGTTTAGCAACACTTGTTTGTTTTTTCAATCATTTAATTTGATATAAAGAGTTTTTTTAAAATATAATGATCGTGGAGAAGTACTTGGTGTGAAATGAAAAGATGTATTTTGCTATAACGATTTCATTTAGTTTTGGCATTTTTATAATAAAAATTACTCTTAAATTTTAAAGAATTTTAATACTATATATTCAATGCTCATATACAGAATTATATATGAGCATGTTTCTCGTAAATTGAGACTAAGATGATAGACTACATGCAAGTGATTTAAAAAAGTGCTCTCCATGATTATGATACTAATGAAAGATTGGATTAAATATGCATCACTTTTCAAAATAAGTCCGGCACTTACATGAAAACAATTCTCTAAGACCATAAAAGTTGAAAGCAGTCATAAGCAGCCCAATTACAACAATATAAGATATCACCACCATTCATACAATCAAAGTAGATTTATGACATGATGGGTATCATTAAAAGATATATGGACTTCTAACATGTTTGTGTTAACCAGCTTTGTCAATCTCTAGCTATGACATACATACATTGTTGATGCAAAATTATATATTGTTCATTACATGTCATTTTTATTTCACCAATTTTCAAATAGTATGACCTTTTCTTTCATTTTGCTGATTAAGTTTTGCTTAATTTCATCAATTACTTAAAAAATTTATTTTTAAGGAAGGTTATTTGATTGATTGAATCTTGATTAAAAATTTATTATTAAATTAAACACAAATATTCATAAAGACATGTATGTTAAAATGATAGTGTAAGATGCAAATTCATGTTTTCTCATAAATTATGCAAAATTTGTAAATGATCTTTTTAAATACTAGTTTTTTGGATTATATTTTAAATTTGGTTCAGATGTGGCCATCTTAACCAAATTAAATATTATGGATATTTTAGATTTTATCTTGTAGCTATGATATTACATAACTAATATGTACAAAGAATAGATATTCATCACACGTTCATTTTTGTTATTTAATACTAATTCATGTATCAATTAAAACAAATCATACAAAATTTAATACACAGTAAGCTCTGATGAGAAATTGATGAATCATAGTTGAAGCAGGATGGTACATATTTGCAAAAAAAAGTGACAATATGAATATATGATTATCTATAAGATTAGTGCAACAAGTATTGACATATGTTTTTTGCATATTTTTATTCTTGAAGATGTTGGCTAATGAGACCAACTTGACTTTCGATGAAAAACATTATAACTTATACCACTTATTTTACAATTAAAAAATGATCATCACCACATATGCAATGTAAACTGCAAATTATAATTGCATTTTTCTTCCCCAAACTGAAGTATTGTTTTGTCTCAAGCCTCTTTTTTTGTTGTTGTAGTATAGCACAAGCTCCTCATTATGTCATATTGAGATACTCATTCTCATATGAAATTTCAAACTTATTGTCTATAATGACATTGTGAATATTTATTTGTTATTGAATGATACCGTCATTTTATATCATTATATTATTAATACATGTTCTTGTACTCAATAAAATGTGGATGCACCGATGAAACCATAAGTGAACCTTGTCTCTTGATAGAAGTGACCTACGTGAATCAAAAAGCTGTTATGAATCATGGAGTTGGAATCCACAAACTTGTATATTTGCTTGAACAGACACGATGGCAATATTTTAGTAGAAAGACAACTAATATCCATTTTAACTTAATATAAAGCTTGTTAAAAATGTGAGTTAAAAATGTTTAAATTCTATTTGGATAGGTATGTAAAGAAAGAAGACATAAGCTTATGATATGACTAGAAGGCTGCATTTCCATTATAAAGTAAATATTAATGTAATGAATATGGATTGACAGTTAAAATATCTGCATAAAACACAAATAGACATGTGAAAGTAATAAATAGAAATTTTGTTTACCTCCATGAATTGAAAAAGTACATATAAGGAAATTTATAACGGGACAACATATTAAAATAAGCAAGATTTCCTAGGAGGATAAGAATGCATTTCTCATTTTAATAATTCACAACAAAAGTTTTCTTTCTCCATCAAAGTTACAAAGATATATGTCTTTCTACCAGAATTCATGCATGCAGCTGGAGTTGTGTGGTGTGATTATGTGAAATTAACCTTGCACTGAAGGCCTTTTAACACGATACAAATATAAATGAAGAAAGAACTTTGCAAACAAGAGAAGTAGATTGAAGGGTAAAACTCAGCGTAGTACTTTTAGTTTTCATGCATTGTTTGTGCAAAGGAAGTATACCGAATTCAAAGTTGGGTTAGAAGAAAATTAATATAGATATATCCGTATCCATATTAATCAAGAAACACACCAATTATATGAACCTCAAAGAGAAATACAACTTTTGAGTCATTAAATCAGCTCGATAAAGCAAACACTAGTGCTTGTTTCATGTATATCAATTTTCACTTAGATGCGAAATATCTGGATTTACTAAGAGACATTTTAAGAAATTGAAGTTGTCGACTCTCTCTTTCAATCCAAACATTGGACTGAAAAAAATAACACTTTTTGTTGGGCAGTAACGTTTACGTCATATATGGAACATTCAGTAAAGTCATATTTCTATTAATGTTTTACTGAAAATGTGCCTACATAAACATACTTCATTCATACTATAACTGCAAGATTGTCTTCAACAATATGAGAAATGATTGTATTCTATGCACTCCGTTCACTTAGAATTGCGAGAGCGGTACCAAATCGAGGCAAACTCTGAATACTAGGTAGGACTTCCTATTAATAGGAAGTAAGGGTCAGCTCATCGTTAATCTGTCGTAAAATTCAAGTAATCATGTTTCAATGAAGATAACCTGTTGTCATGGTAGATATAATGTATCTTACCTGTGAGTTAGATGCAGTTTTTTGTTTGTCGTTACAGCAGATAAATTTTTTCCGTGAAGGTTTATTTGATTGAATGCAAGACATTGTAATTAAACGTGATGTTTTAGTGGCAGAAATAGAAGATGTGATATATAACTAGACACGCAGTGTTTTCCCTTACTGGTGTAATTTATGATCTATAAGAAAAACCTGATTAAAGAAATGGCATCTCTGAAGAGAAGTAATTTAGTTTGTCTAGTGCTTATCCGACGACATTTGTATGCTTATGGTGATTGTTATACGAATTTATTTAGTGGGGCAAAAAGTATGGGAAGAGCCCGTCAAGTTGCGCATGTATCAAAGCAAATGTTTAAGAAACCAAAGGTTCACAACATTGTTGACAGCAAATAAGGGGAAATTTACCTCGACTGCTATCCCATACCGAGAAGATGTTTTTTTCCATACTGACAAGCATAACGCATACAATCTCGCATGTTTTCTTTGGAAACTTTGTGGAATCAAAACGAATGTATGGTCCGCAGCCAAGAGAATTAAAATAGACTGCAAACCGCTTCTCTGCTCACAGAAACAGAGTGAGCTTATGGGTACGCCATCATAATCAAGAGGTGTGATCTCACAAGGAGCAAATATGGGTGTTTACGTGTTTGCTGGTGGGCTCAGCAAACCGCTCAGCACTCTAGCAAACTGCTGGAGATGGACACGTTTGTGGTTTCTTCGTCGCGATACAAGCAAAAGTATTCTCATTTGGCTAAAAAAAGGATAAAGTGTTGGGTTGCAGAAGAGTAATATTCCTAAGGGTGCATGGTTAGGGTTGGAATGGTAGTCAGAGGGAGGGAAGTGGAAAGTTTCACATTTGTAACGTAGATTAATAATATCCGGTTTCACACTGGAGGTTCGAAAATAGCTCGAAATAAGCTCGTCTGTCCCAATGGTTCTCGTCGCAACCCCTCTGAGGGCGAGAGGAGAGGCGAGGGAGAGGTATGAGAATGGGTATGGCTACCTTTTCGCGCTGCTTTGGTGCAGTTTTCTTGCTCGTTGCGCTTCGGGACATTGTTTTTGATGTGTGTTTCCTATCGACGACTTTGAGATTCTAGTTGCGAGGCTCTGGATTGCCCTGTCGGCGAAGAATCGGGCATGTAAGTCTGGTTTGTTGAAAATCAGGAAATCTGCGCATGTTCTGGTCAAGAGTACATGTTGTTGGTTAAGGGTTCGCATTTTCAGTGTGCGGTTGGTGAGCGGAGGCGAGGGGAAGCGTTGCGGAGGTTTTAACATGCCCGCCCCGGGTGATAGATATGACGAGGATGACCGAAGCTCGACCGATGACGAAGGGTGAGGCTTGAACTTGACGTGTGTTTTGGTGAAATTAGGGAGAGTGACAGTTTTTATCGTTTGAGCTTATGGGTCCTGTCCATGTAGTTTGAGGACGGATTTTGAAATTCGTGTTCTCAAGTTTCTCGACGTGGATCAAAATTGTGTGTTTGCTGCTGCCGTAGCCCAAATTTACCTGGTGGTCGGTGCATTTGAAAATAGGGGTCTTTAGGTTGAAATTAGTCGATGCTTAGGTCTTGTGGTTGACCGACATTTTTCTTGTACAATAGAGGACGCTCGCAAACTGGTATCTGCTGCATCAAGCTTCATGGAAAACTTTGATTTGCTTTTACTTCGTCATACTGTGCTGCTGGTTTCCCCTTCCTCCCCCATCCCGCAAGTTTACTACCTTCTATTTGAGGAAGAGATTTTGGAGAGGAACTAGCAGTCTTTTCTGTTGAAGGCTACAACGTTTTGTGTTGTCCTGCTTTCTGCTTTCAGCTATGTCATGCATCATACGTTTGTGAATTTTATTACTTTTCAACTTGTAGGGTCGTTCTTTCTGTTATGCAAATCTCTGGGGGCTGAGAATGAACTTGGTGTACATTTTCCTTTGTCAGCATGGATTTCATCTGTTCTGTGCAGGATTAAGTTTGAACTATAATAGATAAATCATGTTTCCTTTTTTTAGTGATTCCCAAATTTGTTGTTCTCTCGAAATTTTATTTTCGTGAAACACCTTATCATAAGTCACATGATTTTCAGGAACGAGGAAGCGGCGAACCTACGGAATGGAGAGGCTTCAAGTAGAGGCCAGTACAACTACAACAGCTTGTTCAAGCTCGATGTAAGTCAAGCTTGTAGCTCTGATCGATTTCGTGAAGAACATAAGGAGTGGGCCTGTTTTGAAACCGAAGAGAGTATTTTAAAAATAACATAGGCATTCGCGCTGTAGATTTTGCTCTCTTACCTTGTGTTTGACAGTTTTGAGTCATCGTTGGATCTCCAGATTCCTCAAGGTCAAGACGATGTGCACATCAGCAGTAGCAACAGCAGTGAGGATGGGAGCGATTCGGGAAGAGGTATGACGAGGATCAGCTCTCAGGTCAATACACAATCAAGTGATTGCGTTATTTTTCCTGAGACTCGTGCTTTTAACTATGAATCTACATGGGATAAGCCGATAATTTCTTAGTGATTGTCTCGACAGTCGTCATAGGTTTTTTTTTCCCTTGCAGACCGCTCATCACCATGGATTCCTCCGCATTACCTCAAGAGATTTATGATCGCATCGAACAATTCGGCAGTTCCTAACAGCAAGTCCGTGGAGCGTTCGGTTTCGTGAAGATATGAACCTACGTCTTAGTCTCTGATTGTATTCAAGTATTTGTTACTAAACACTGATACCCATGGTATTCCAGACAATTGGAGGTTGAATGGACATGCCAATGGTGGTGATGCCGAGAGGCCTTCAGACATTCAATCTGAAATGACCATGAAGAGAAAACGAGTGCAAGTGGAGGCTGATGCTGGTTGCAACTCCGCAAGAAGAGATGATTCAGACAGCAACGACGAAGATGAAGATGATTCAATCTACGCTATCTCCGAAGAAGTATACAGGGAGATGCTCTCTGAGCATTATCAAAGGTACAAGAGAGCTCGGTTACAAGAAGCTGTGGCCGCTCGCTCAAGTGTTGCGGCCGTTCGTCGAATTGAGAATGCGAAGCAGAAGGCCTTGGGCAACCACCAAACGGATCCCAATGGCTTCGATGGTTCTAATCATCAAACTTCAGAATTTGCCAAACAGTACTCCCGAAAAAACCGCATGAAGAAGACTGACCAATATGGAAATACCATGAAGGATCTCTATTCTGGAACAATGTCTGGTATATCTCCAGGTGGGTCAGAGATGCACACGGGATCGACAATTGAGCGCATGACGGCCGAAGGGGGTCCTTTATACAATCTGCTTGATATTGGGGGCGGAGTCCAATTTCAAATCCCCCCTGCATATGAAAGGTTGGCCTCCAGTCTCCGCCTGCCAGATCTGGCAGAATTGCAGATATCCGAGCGCATTTTAAGTGGGAAAATCAGCTCAACTTCACTGTTACCTAGAATGGCTTCTGACCCCAGGGCGAAGTTATGGCGTCTCAGAGCGGGTATGGGGGAGAGTTGGGACAGTCTCAGATACCCAGGGGGTATGCTGAGAATGTTTCAGGAAGAGGGTCACAGAAGATTTTCTTTGCAGGTGTTGGACAGAGCGAGCATGCATTTGTCCTCAAGTTACATTGCGGAAGGGTCGACTGGACCATCTCTTGGTCTTGAAGCTTTGGACGGGAGCCAACAAGGCGATCCCATCACACTCAGGCACATATCTTCTGATGGGGGTCTGATGAGCCATTGCGAAGTGAAAATAATCGAAAGGGGTGATGGCTATGAGGTTCGTTTATTCTGACAAGTAACGGATGCCTTACATGTGAGTCCGAGAATGCAATGGAGAGTCAATAAAGAAAAACGCCTCAGCTGACATATGCCCGACTTGAGTTTTGTGATGCTTTGTAGATATACCAGAAGACGTGATGGGTTGAACATGCAGCGTATTCGCTAGTTTCGTGTTGAATTGAGGGTTTTGTGTATGTCTAGGATCTTTTGATCAGTCCAGCAGGTGAAATTGATATGGCGGGAGCTTGTCCACAAGCCCGTCTTCTTGTCCAGCTGCACCCAAGTTTTCCTTTTCCTTCTCGTATTGTGACTTTCGTACATGCCTCTTTGATCAGATGACATCAAATTTTAAATCTCTTGTCCTAGTTCTATTGTTTGCCATACTACCAAATCCCTTATAGTCTGTTCAACTACGTCAGAAATAACTTGGAATGGTCTTGCTGCTTGAACGTAGCAATTTCACCGACAATGTTTTCGCTGAGCGTGGCATTGGCTGTTGCTTTACTCTTGCCACCCTGCCTAAGGTGTTAAGCTTTCTGTATTGGTCACGCTCGCGTTTGTATCTATCGTTTACTTCCTTGGCTGGCATGCCTTTTTAACATTAAACCCCGTACTGAGTACTTTTGCTCAGACGTGCTATTGCATGTACTTTTCGCAATCGGATTTTTTTTCCTTATTCTAAGCTGATGACAGTCCATGGACTTCTATACGGTTTCAATAGAGTCCAAGCTATCACAGCTCTCTTCTGCTCATTGTTATTTTTCATGTTTGCATCAATCCGTTTCTGGTCAGTTGCTACCTTTTTTCTGTTCTTTGTCAATTTTTCCATGTTTGTTTCCGTCCGTTGTCACCGAGTTGCCTTGTAATCCGTGCCACCTTGGCGCTAGACGTTTTTGGTCCTCTGACGTGTTAAGCCCCTGCGGTGGATCGTGTAATAACTGACATTAGTGTGGATAGACTCTGTGCCGTATTTTTGAGGGTTTTGTTTTCTTTCTCTTCCTCACTTACTTTGAGTTTCCTGTCTTGGTGATGTCATTTGCCGCATTAAGAAATTCTTGGTTTACGTCTTACTCAAAAAGTGAATTTCTATCTCTTAGCTTCCACATCAACATTGGGTCGACTGTTGATGTCAGCCTGGACATAGTCCTGTTGAGAATAATTGGTTACATCCTGGATGTTTCTTATAAAATGTCGTTGTCTTTCTTATAAAGTTACGTTAAAAGGTTATAGTCAACCTTTCTCTCGGAACGGGTTCTAGTTTATCTTACTGATCAAAAGGAGAGCGAGTATTTTGATTGTAAGATAGAAAATTGAAGTTATCGAGTAGGCGTAATGTATTGAAGAAATGCACTTGTTCGAACTTAAGTATTTGTCCCTCCAGAGTATCCTCGGAGCTGCAGTCCTCCGATTGCGGCTCTCGAGGACGCCATGTTACTCATTTCTTGCTGTATTGATATTACACCAGGTCATACAACGAAGGATTGAGAGGAAGGAGTCTAGAAAAGATCCAGCCCTGGTTGCGCGGGAGGATTTCGATAAGATTGGAAGACACTGGGCAAACCTCGTGCGGAAAGATCTCCCCAAACACCACAAGTTTTTCATGTCGTACCACAAGAGACAGCTGGTCGATGTAAAGCGCTTTGCAGAATTTTGTCAACGCGAGGTAGGCCCGCAATGTCCATCTGACTGGAAAGCTGATGACTGCTTCATGACGATATGCATATATATCTTGGAGAGACTGGGTGCAGAGTATTCGCACCATGCAATATGGGTTGTTTGATACATTGAGAAGCATCGAGTGGACTACAAGAACTCATTGAGATGTCTGGAACTGGCAGGTGAGGACAAGAAACATGCGATCTTTGAAGCTGTTGCGGGCTGCTCCAATGCGGATAAGACGACTAGCTAGAGACATGGTTATATTCTGGAAGAGAGTGGACAAAGAGCAGGTACTTTCATACTAACAAATGCAAAAAGGGTCGTCGTATTTCGTTCCTGAATCTGTGGAATGTTTGATTTAGGCCGCGTTGCTCATATTTTTCCCCATGCATGCCGCGATATCCATTGAAAAATTTTACCGGGGAGGGAGTTTTTGAGATACTAATAGTTGGTTGTGTTTAGGCTGAGGTACGTAGGAAGGAAGAGAAGGATGCAGCGGATGCGCTGAAGCGACAGGAAGAGCTTAGAGAAGCTAAAAGACAGCAGCAACGGTTAAATTTCCTTTTGACTCAAACAGAGTTGTACAGCCACTTTATGCAAAATAAATTGGCTGGAGGAACACCTGCAGTGATTGACACCACTGCAGTAATCTCAGCCTCAGATGATACTGCTGCTGCCAACGACACAAAGCTTAGTGAAGAAGATGCTGCTGAAGAAGCAGCACTCAAGGAAGAAGCCGTGCGTGCTGCAACGCAAGCAGCTGCACAGGCGAAGAACAGGACGAACGCATTTGACAGTGAAAGTAGCAAGCTTCGTCTAGCTGCGGGTCTAGAGGATGACGAACGAGATGGAATGCAAGTAGACGGCGCCTCTGACATTGATCTTCTGAACCCGTAAGTGTTACTTAACCAGATTTGATTCGATTATAGGACGCGGTTTGCATTCTTCGCTGTCATGATGATGCGTTGTTGGAGTATGCGATGATTTGGTTTTGGGTGTTCCTCTGTTTAGGACTGTCGCTTGAGACATTCCATTGACCATCAAATATACTTAGAGTCTGGCATACTTGGTTATTGTTTTATTTGCTTATATCTTATCTCATTCACTTGCTGCTGATTTATGTTCTTAGGTCGACAATGCCAACCACGTCCTCAGTGCAGCAACCAAAATTGTTTCAAGGAATTTTGAAAGAGTATCAGCTCAAGGGTTTGCAGTGGCTTGTCAATTGTTATGAGCAGGTAAATGTAACCCATGGAAAGTTCTGGTCATTGTCCACAGCATCTGAGTTATGTTCGGGGTCTTGCCTTTCTTCCTTGTTCTTTGTTAATCACTTCCTTTCAGACTTGAAACAGGAGTCCCATGTATACCATGTTTGAGACTGACAGATTATTTGGACTCGTGTTCCTCTGTCTTTTTCAGGGTTTGAACGGTATTCTAGCTGATGAGATGGGTCTGGGGAAGACTATTCAGGCGATGGCTTTTCTTGGACATCTCGCTGAGGTAAAATTGATGAGCATGACATTCAGCACCTGGGAGCTGCATGCTTAGATTGTTCGTCATATCTGGGTTCAATGAAAAATTGGCTTCAAATTAAACCGTTATTTCTGAATTGCAGGAGAAAAACATATGGGGACCGTTTTTGGTGGTTGCTCCCGCGTCTGTCCTGAATAACTGGGCAGATGAAGTGAACCGGTTCTGTCCAGATTTGAAAATTTTGCCCTACTGGGGTGGGCTGAATGAACGTACTGTTCTGCGAAAGAACATAAATCCCAAGCGCCTCTATAAGAGGCAAGTGTTCTGCATCTACATGGTCGGCGAGATTTGTCAAAAGATGTGCATGGTATTTTTCCGTTGCTATGGAACTGGACAAAGTGAATCCGTATCATGGTCGATTGCATTAGGATTCAGTAGTTTTGCATATTAGAGGATTATGTCAGGCTCTTCACGGGTGTTTGATACAGCCATTTGTTCTCAGGGACGCAGGTTTTCATGTTCTCATCACAAGCTATCAGCTCTTGGTGTCCGATGAGAAGTATTTCAGGCGAGTGAAGTGGCAGTACATGGTTCTTGATGAAGCACAAGCCATAAAGAGCGCAAGCAGGTGGGTGGTCATGTGTTTAGTATGCTGTCGTTGATTGGATTATCTACCCGTCTCTCGTTCAGCAGGCACGAAATGTATGTGTAAGCAATTGGAATCTGATAGAGCATCACTAATATGCGTTTGAGATGGTCATCAAACTGATATGGAGGAGTGAGCTAGTTTTGTAGTCTTGAAGGCTGGTTCGTTTGTCTTGTACAGTGTTGCCTCTTTTCTATAGTATAGGTCGATAGGGCGTCTTTCTTCTCTTCGTCTACGAGGGGTTGAAGTTGACTATAATGGGGAAATTTGAAAACTGGAAAACTGCTTGAAAGCAAGTCGTTTTTTCAGTCGTTTCTCCGTCGTGTACTTGGAGGTCATCTGTTCTAACTAGAGTTCTTTTTCCGTTTCACAGCTTGAGGTGGAAGACACTGCTGAGTTTCAACTGTCGAAACCGTCTTCTGCTTACGGGAACGCCCATTCAGAACAGCATGGCAGAGCTATGGGCACTTCTGCACTTCATTATGCCAACCTTATTTGACAGTCATGAACAATTTAGCGAGTGGTTTTCCAAAGGGTAAGACCGACATTGTCCTTTCTAAGAATGCAGAAGCCCAAACCGAAAATGTGTATGACTTTCATGTTTGTTGTTCACTATTATGGAGATTTACTATGGCAAGCGTGAGTTGAGTAGATTTGAAGTATCGTTGAAATTTAAACTAGGTTAATTCTTAATTATAAGAATTGGATGAATTGTATACTTAAAAGCTTCGTGTGAAGCGATTTAATATAATCGCTTGCATGAGATTTGCCAGATTGGGAGAATGAGAAAATGAAGACTAAGGTGTCACTGACTTGTGTTTTTCTCTTCATAGAATTGAGGGCCACGCGGAGCACGGAGGCACTTTGAATGAACATCAGCTTACTCGATTGGTAAATTTTTGTTCTGGAGACTTAAATTGAGAATGTAAAATACGCCAGAAAACCCTTGTGATGAGTTGCATCCAAGCTGAGATACGTTTGATATTTTTTAGGAATGTGAATCTTCTTGTTCGATATGTTGACTTTCTCTGCAGTTTTGTAGTCACATCTCCTTTCTGAATGTTGGGAACGCTGCTGACAAAGATTGTTGTATTTTTTGAAACAGCATGCAATTCTGAAACCTTTTATGTTACGGCGCGTGAAGAAGGATGTCATCACGGAGATGACCAACAAGAAAGAAGTTGTGGTATCTTGCTCACTAAGTTCACGACAGCAGGCTTTCTACAAGGCCATAAAAAACAAGATTTCAGTCGCCGATTTGTTTGATAGCAAGGGTGCTATGAATGACAAGAAAGTTCTCAATCTTATGAATATCGTCATCCAGCTGCGGAAGGTGAAGATGCAAATACTCTCGCTTTTGGCCTCTATGTATGAGAGGATTATATGCGCTTTATTTCTCTGTAGTTAGGAGCTTTTTGAGTTAGTCATTCAGATTAGGTGATATAATCATGTCTTATTTTGTCTGTATTCTGGCTGCTAACCCGGAAGTTGTCCTTTTTTCTTTTGCAGGTTTGCAATCATCCAGAGCTTTTTGAGCGCAATGAAGGCAATTCCTTCCTACACTTTGCTGCGATGAAAAATTCCCTCCTTCCTCCAACCTTTGGTGAGCTGGAGGAGATACACTATGCTGGATCATGCAACCCAATCTCATACCAGGTACGCATGAATGTGGCCGGTATGTTTTTGCAGAAGTTCAGAATTCCTACTCCCCTTTTCACATTGTTGAAATCATCTGTGAGCGTCTGTGGGTACACGATCTCCAGATTCCGACAAGCTAATTTCAGCGAGTAGAAATTTAGCATCACAAAAATCATATAATCATGGTAGTCTCTATAGGTGATAACACCTTCTGTTGACCTGCAGGTTCCCAAGCTGTTATATCGAGATGGCATGCGCTGTCTTCCCACCTCCAACTCGGGTTCCTGTCAAGGTTTCGCAGAAAAGTGGTTGAAAAATAGATTGAGTATATTTTCCGCGGACAATATTCATTATTCCATCTTCTCACAGAGTGAAGGCGGTGACTGTCAGGGGTCATATAGTAGAAGCGGCGGTTTTGGGTTCTGTCGACTTCTAAATTTATCTCCTTCTGAAGTTCAGTTTTTGGCCAAAGCTTCTACACAGGACAGGTGGTTGTATTCTATATTGCTGGATGATAGTCCTTTGATAGGACAAATTCTTGCTCAACAAGAGAAAAGCGATTCTGGGGATGAATTGCTCGAAGCTGACATCGAGGATCCCAAAACAAGAGCTGTTAGGAGATTGTTGATGATCCCTGGTCGGTCTGAGTCTTCTCTTCTTCGTGAGAAACGCTTCACTGGTCGTATATCGGATCCTTTTGAGGCCTTGATCATTTCCTACAAGGAGAGGTTTCTTCAGAGTGTTGGGTTGTTGCGCTCGGTGCGTAAGCTGATGCCGGCGGTCCGAGCCCCTCAGGTGGATTTCATACCTGTTCTGTCTGTCCTTGTGATTGTTCTGAAGTATTTTGAGTTGGTACTCCCATTACAAAATTTGAGATCGATTATTAGAAATGAAGATGGATCATAAACAATGAATAATGGCTTCACATTTGGCGTCAGTTGTACTTATCACGGATGTTTTCTGATGGTTTACAGATAGATATAGTTTGTTCGGACCGTGGGTTCAGTTTCCAAAGAACAGAAGAGCTGCAAGATCCATGGATGAAAAGATTGTTGGTGGGGTTTGGTCGGACTTCTGACTATAATGGACCTTCACTTCCTCGGGCCCCTCATCATTTAGTAGAGGAACAGGCTGTGAAGATAAAAGTGCAAGAGCCTCTTCTTTCACTACCATATCGAATATTTGGATCAGCGCCTCCTGTGAGGAGCTTTGATTTTGCGAAAATGTTAACAGTAAGTTTTCTCTTGTTTATTGCAATATTTTGTGGGTTATGTCAGGAGATAAGAAATCAAAGTGATATGGTGTTGACAGGAATTTTTCTGTTACTTTGTAAATGTGTGGCTTCAGTTCTAAGCGGATGATTCGGTTTATAAAGTTGTCATTTAGGTGCTGTGTTATTCGTTTATTTCTCATCTATCGACTTTCCAGTTCCTGAGAGTTGTCTGTGAATATTATCCAGGATTCAGGCAAGCTTCACATTCTAGATGGTTTGCTGAAGTGTCTTCGGGCAGGAGATCATCGAGTACTTTTGTTTGCACAAATGACGAAGATGTTAAACATCTTGGAGGTATTGTTTTTCGTGACCTTCCAAGCTGTTTAGGGTTTGGAATTGGCAACTCTTGAAAGTATGAGTTGTTGCTGATACGATTTCGGTGGAAGCACATTCAGTAGCAATTCAGAAGCAAATTCTACGTAGCAAACAGTATTGCGTGTATTCTGTCCCTGCTACAGTTGTGTCAACCAGTGTTTATCTCCTTACTCGTCGTCTTACGTGTCTGCTTTGGGCAGGATTATATGAATTATCGCAAGTACAAGTATCTACGGCTTGATGGTTCTTCAACAATAATGGATCGACGTGATATGGTGAAAGATTTTCAGCATAGGTACGGCTTCTTCTACTAACTACGAAATTGCTCGTTGTCATATTACGCTGTTGTATCCTTGTAAGGCATGTGAAAAGATTTATATTAAGCTTGAAGAGGTAAATCTGTTTGTCTCTTCGGAGTCTGCTGGATGTGGATACTCTTTCCCACAGTTGTCTTGCTTGGATGGAATGAAAATCTAACTGTGTATCGTGTGAATCATGACGTTAGCACTCAAAAGCCTTCAAGGGAACCTTTTAGGTGTGTGTCGAAAGGAAGTATGAGCAACTGAAATTTGCTGCCTACCATGGTATGAATGTGTCGAGCTCATTCTAAAGCCCCTCAATGTCTTGTGTGTTTGTACAGGGGAGACATATTTGTCTTTTTGCTGAGTACTAGGGCAGGTGGGCTGGGTATAAATTTAACGGCAGCAGATACGGTCATCTTTTACGAGAGTGATTGGAATCCGACAATGGACTTACAAGCAATGGACAGGGCACATCGTCTTGGTCAAACCAAGGAGGTATTTGCAGCCCCGTTCCTCCCTTGAATCAAAAAAAGTTAGGCGTGTAGTACAGTAAAAAGTTTGTCTGTTTTCACAAACACTAATGGAGACTGAGTTCCTTGCGTCTAAACAAAAGTAATCTGATGGCTTTTGTCCTCACGGATATTGTAGAGGAGTTTTAATTAGTTTTATATATCACGTTAATGTACTGAATGATGCCCATGTTTATCCCGGTTCGTGGCAGGTAACCGTATACAGGTTGATCTGCAAAGGAACAGTCGAGGAGAAAATTATGAAACGAGCCAGTCAGAAAAACACTGTGCAGCAGTTGGTTATGACTGGTGGACAATCACAAGGAGATGTTTTCCAGGCGGAAGAAGTGGTTTCGTTGCTACTTGACGATGCAGAGCTTGAGCAAAGGTTGAAGGAGCAGCAGCAGGTGTCGAAGGCAACGGTAAGTTCCTGACAGGTTATGGTGATCGGAATGGTTCTCTTTGGAAAATAAGATGCTAGTACAAGAGAACAGGGACCGGAGACACCTTATGGCCATCTGTGTTTACTTAACTCGATTCTGTGCATTAAAGAGCGTTATTAGTATGTTTCTTTGCACTCTGGATGATGAAGAAGAATAAATGGCCCTAATTTAAACTCTTTTTCTGTTTACAATAACACATTGAAAATTAGGATTCAAAAGTTGTTGTTGACGCTAAGTATGCATGACTGAAGTTTTTAGCTCAAAAATGCGTTCGATTAAGTGAATGATACAACTAGTACTAATGTCTCTGTTATTATTTCGTAACCCAGGACAAAGCTGAGAAGCGCAGGAAAGGATGGGGCGGAGGTTCTGCGAAGGGTGTCCGGTTGGATGCTGAGGGTGGAGGTGCATCATTAGATGAAGAGGCATTGGTTGCCCTAGGAGATGGATTGAAAACATCTCAGGATGGTTCTAATTTACCTCCCGATGGAGATAGAGCAGTTGTGGGAGTAACAGAAGGAACCGCAGAGAACGTTGGACGCGGAGGTGGAAGAAAGGTTCGTGTCGGTGTTTTGTTATTCAATTTCCTTTGCTATTGCTGAGCATGCTTCAGTTCTGTGGGTTTGAAGCCTGTTGGGAGTTTATGAACGCCGACCCTAAGAAAATTATGCAGGGTGATTGGTCGATTTATTGTTAGAGCGCCAGGTGTTTACTGTAATCTACTGAAGAATGTGGGCCAGATTGTTTTGTCCACATTTTTGACCTAGATGTCTGCCCTTCATATTTGTACTCGTTTCAATCTCGGAAGTAACTGCTAGATTCGTTTAGACTAGGATATAGCGTCACATGGATCGTTTCCATGGAATCTCGGCTTCTTCTTATCTCGTAGTCCTACAATGGGTGTGGGTTACTTTAAGCAACTTGGATTGTTATTAAAGTGGTAGTGACCTCTTCAGCTTTTATTTGTCCATGGGTAGAGTTACTTATTTATCATATACGGAACCATGAAGGAGACGTCAGTCACTTTGGATTGTTGCTTGTATCCACAAAGTATACTAAGTTAACTTTGTGGATACAAGCAACAATCCAAACTTAGTTCGTGTTGAATGAGTTCGATTTGTCCCAAGGCGCACTCTTGTTGGTGCCAATCTTGATGTGAGGAATGTACTGCCTAGTGGACGAACATTGGGGGTTGTGCGTTGTGGATATACGTAATTAATGCAAATTCTTCGTAAATATTTCAGAGGAGGCGTGGTGAAGGAAGAGCACCAAGACCACCGAAGGCTCCGAAGCCCCCGAAGGAGCCAAAACCAGCCAAGGAACCAAGAGTGCGTAAAGACCGGAGGCAGCCCAAGGTACCGCGACCTCCCCGAACCCCGGGATTGCCAAGAGTGAGGGCTGGTAGACCTGGCCGGCCTAAGAAGTCTGAAAAGTCTCCTGCGACCTCTGGGTCTGTACCTCCTGAGTCATTGGGATTGTTATCTTCAGTCACCGGAAGAGCCGATGGACATCAGCAGACTGTTGATTCTGCTGCCAATGGCGAGTCCAGTACTCCTGTAAAGCCTTCGGCACATTCAGGGGATGCAAGCAATGGAGAACAGGTAAATACGTTTGGTGTGAGCTCGGACGCTACAGCTGACAATGGTAACAGAGAGTTGGAATTGCCTCAAGGTGCCGATTTTGTGAAGAGTGGGCTAGGAAAGGGGAAGAATCGTGGAGGCAAGGAGAAGTCAGGAGCTCTGGAGGTTGTAGGCATCGGTAAAGCACGTTCTCGTCCCCCAAAAAGGAGAAAGAATTCGTTGGATTTAGATAGTAAAACTGTAGGTTTAAATCATACTTCAATGAATAGCGGTACTTCACACTCCCTTGTGGGAACCCTGAAACTCAGTCTCCACAGTCAACAAAAGCAGCCTCTAGCCGACAGAAGTTTGTCTTCACTATCAACAGAGGATCCTTTGTAACATTCTGTCAAGTAACGTGAATTGGACCCCATAACAAATGGGTTGAACTGAACGACCGGGGACGACGTGGGGTCAGCATTTTTATTGTTCATTAATAGTGCCATCAATCAAGCAAATAACCGCTGATCATTGGAGTTCTGAAGTGGTGTTCACAACCCATGGTCCCTTTTGTATGTAGTATAGCTGTAGTGAGCGCAGTAAAGCGGTGGAAATGTAGGCGGTGTTCCAGTCGATCTTTACAGATTTTATTGGTGCTCATGGATTCTCTATTTTCATGTCCAAAGAAAGGAGAATGAATGTCTTTAGTTTCTCGAGAGTTCTACATCAATAAAAAAACGGCCAGAAAATTTTTCTTTTTATGACCGCTGGTTGCGTTTTATTTGGGGAAAGAGATCTGAAAGATACCAAGCCGGCGTCATTTGAATATCGCAGTCCCTGACTGGTTTCATACCAAAAACATGCCAAATCGGAACGCTGCACACTATGCGACCTTGGGAACCATTTGTTATTACGATGTGACAGGCCACGCCGTCTTAACTTTAATCTATCTAAGCGTTCCTCTTAATCACTCACGTTGAGTGAATAGCTGAACTGATCGACATGATTGGTGTCTGTCCGGCCCATATGATTCTCTTCTTGGGACTGGTCTGCTGTTAGTCACAAATCCTGAATGATGAAAATGCACAGTAGTTAATCATAAACATCGCAAGACTGGCTCTCTGGTGCCACTGCATGGTGCAACTATACTATACTGGTGGTTTTGCTTATCAATGCAAGTCTGTACATTTTGAGCTAAGCTCAAGCTCATCCAGAGGTGAAGAGCAGCTAATAAGCTTTCAAGACAATGAATCCCTATATGTTTTGTGGTTAGGAGTGTACTATTTAGCAACTCCTGAATCAGCTTGTATCTTCGAAACTTTGAGTTCATGTAATTACATCAAAGCTTTTTTATTATTTACAACGGGAGGTAGGAGACAAAGCCACTCATGGAGTGACGATGGTAGAGTGGCCAGATATTGAGTTTCAATTTCAAGGTAGTTTTAAGTGACATTGCGGGACAGTACTGTACATGGATGCATCATGACTCTTGTAAAGTTGGACTCGCCATACACGAAGATGTTTGACTAGATTTGCATGTGAGCATTTTGAATAACATGTATATGGAGTGTAAGTTGAGGAGAAAATCTGTAACACAGAAGATTATAATTTTTTGGTTAGCTTGTGAGAAGTATCTTGAATGCAATGAGACATTCGTTTCAAATATATAAATTTAATTATACAACTAGATCAAAAATATATATTACATAAGACAAAAGTAAAGCTTCACATAACAAACATATAGAGTACACTTTTAGGAATTGTTTTTTCATTGTAATGAACAATTTTGTTGTTCATCAAGTGAATATATTTGAAGTATATCACTTCTTCATTGAGGTCAAATCCATGAATATATATATTTTGCTTTAACATCATGTTTGATTCATTTGATACTAATAACCTAAAACAAATTTTTTATTATAATTAATGTGATAAAACTAATCACATATTAAGACGTATACAATACTGACATTCTTAGATAACTTGCATAGTGCATACATATGGTATCATAGTTCATCGTTGAACAAATTATCATTCTTGGGATCAAATTCTTAAGTCATATTGACTTAAGAAATATCTACAATTTTGATATACATACTAATATCTATATTGACGTGAATAATTTTTATTTAATTATTTTTTTCTAAACATGGATCTATTTTTAGAAAAAAACTTGCCATATAATCATTTTGTGAATATGACCGATGTCAAGTCACATTCACTGTTGTGCAGAGTAAAAAGTATCACAAGGTTTTGTTTAGTAAAAATCTTGTTGTTTTGTGGAGGTTGTCGTGCGACTCAGTATCGCCATACATCATACATCGCTGACATGCTCTACTCACAACTCACACATACATACACAAGGAAGGAGAGTGTCCACACACAAAGGTATCACAACTAAAATCAGTGTCGAAACACAAGTACACAGAGAGTCGAGCCAAACTCACTACTCGCAAGTAGAATCAGAGTCGAAGCTAGCGGGACTGACATATCCCTACGCGAAAGGCTCAACTCGAAGAACTGACAGTTCTTTGAGTTCGCCTCCTATAAAACCTGAGCCCGTCGATGTCCCAACGTGCAGGGCGTTCCAACGTGTACCTTGTCCTCAAACTCAAATCGACCCAACGTTTCGAGCCATGACAGCTGTCGTGCGACTCAATATCGCCATACATCATACATCGCTGACATGCTCTACTCACAACTCACACATACATACACAAGGAAGGAGAGTGTCCACACACAAAGGTATCACAACTAAAATCAGTGTCGAAACACAAGTACACAGAGAGTCGAGCCAAACTCACTACTCGCAGGTAGAATCAGAGTCGAAGCTAGCGGGACTGACATATCCCTACACGAAAGGCTCAACTCGAAGAACTGACAGTTCTTTGAGTTTGCCTCCTATAAAACCCGAGCCCGTCGACGTCCCAACGTGCAGGGCGTCCCAACGTGTACCTTGTCCTCAAACTCAAATCGACCCAACGTCTCGAGCCATGACAGGTAGTTCAAGAATCAAGAAGAACAAAGATGCTGATACTCTTTCAGCCAAAGTGGCTTTAAAGTTTGATGTCGAAAAGAATGACTTGCTCGAAGATGATCTATGATGTAAAAGATAGGCACTATGCAACTCACTAAGTAATGTTGGGTTCAGGTCTTAGGGTTTAAAGTTAGGTTTTAGGCTCTATCTAGTTATATAATAGAATTAGAATCTACCATGTATATATAGGATAGCAATCCAGAGCTACCATCACAGACAAGGTTTTTGTTAGTAAAAACCAAGTTTTTTTTGTGGAGGTAGTTCAAGATTTAGGAGTAACAAAGATGATGATACTCCTTCAGCCATACTGGTTCAAAAGTTTGATGTCGGTAAGATTGACATGGTCGAAGATGATCTATGATGTCAAAGATATGCACTCTGCAACTCATCAAGGAATGTTGATTATATATGGATATTAGACAATTTTTTTTTTTATCACACTCAATACATTAGAGACTTTTTAATACAATTCAAACGATTCAGTTTTTATGAGTGATGATCAATTTGTAACAGAGGTTAATAAATTTAAAAAGTTTCACATGTTTGATAGATCTCAATATGCCTTCATTCAGATTAAATTTATGCCTCATTTGAAATTTTTTTTGATTATTCTTGAAATGTTATATGCAAAAGATTTTGAAAGAAGCTTTAGGAAATGAATGTTTGAGGTGGAAATACATGATCAGATTATGTTAAGGTATCATAGACACAAAAATCTGTACAAACTAGGAATCAATACCATATGTGGTGAAATCAAATCTACTAAATCTTGAGTTGAGATGTCTAATATATAACATTTTAGTCTAGCAATGTAATACAATTGATTGTATGTACATAACACTTATGGAATTAATCAAAATTTTGATCATGATTGACTTGGTTATAATTAAATTTTAATCATGATCTATTAATTCTATACTTGGCTAAATAATCAAGATATTTCTTGAAATTATGAGTAAGCATTACTATCTTTTCTTGTATCAAAGTTTAGATTCCAAAGAAAAATATTTGACTACGTGTAAGTTTTGATTGATTTGATTAAATAATAAAAATTTCATTGATTAGAGCAAATCTAATGTTGAATTTGTGACGAGTGAATTTTCTAAAAGTTTCAAGGTCTCCAATACCATATCGCCACCTTAATCTAGTGACTAAAAACTTCTAGAAGGTTTAAATGGGCCAATGACATGTTACCAAATTATGAAAATTAATAATACATAACAAAGTTTATCTCATTGAGATGATAATAATCATGTGTTAGCATGATAGAGATCAAACAGTAGAGCAAGTTTAAAGAGTTCAATATGTGAAACATTTGTTTCATCAATAGAAGTTTGAATCAATCAATCATCTTGAAGTGTCTATGAATTTTGGAATTTGAAAAAAAAATAGAGAGATTGTGTGAAATATGTTTGCGATGTGGGCATGTAGATGATTCCTTGTATTATGAATCATGATGAGCCAGAGGAGGTGAATTTGAATGAGACTTGATCCGGAGTTCATGGAACACATGAGTTTTAGTAGTTTTACAAATTGTAATTTTTTTCTTTTTTGTTTTAAGTTGAAACTTAGATTTGAAAAAAAATGAGATCTTTGCACACGAATAATGACAAGAAGTAAATTTCCAAGTAGAATCAAACTTATTGCAAAGATGAAAGTATTACTTGTCATCTCATCATGATTTATGTTCAAGAATCTAACACTTTCTGTAACACTCTCAATCAAACAATGTTGGAGATTATGTGATATATATTGAGTCAATCAGATTTATAATATAAATTATGGTGTTAAGGTGTTTATTTGGTAATATATTTGGTAAATTTTTCTCCTCATTGTGCAATCAATTTTTTGACCAGTTTTGAAATGAGTCACAAATGCATAGCTCATTATAATTACTTAAGAATTATTGATTGTACGACTTCTGATCACATATCAAAGAAATATGGTTGCAAGCTCATATTTACATTCAAGAAGAGTTTTCATTTTACGTATCTTAATTTTTTGAAGTATTATAGATTATGTTACCATTAGCGTATAAAGTTATTGTTAGTATTGTTAGTATTTAAGTTATCTTGCACAACATCACTTCATGTGATGTTGTGCATGATCTATTATCGCTTTAGCTCTAAGAAAATTGAACTAGTAAATGTCAAATCTAAAGAAGGTGAAATGCATTTTTAGTTTTTTAAAGATACCTAAAATTATGATTTTTATTTGATGATTTATTAGACTATACCAAATTCTTGCTAGGCTAACTTGATGTTGATATGATTAGTATACTAACAAGTAAATATGTACAATAGTATATGTGTTTGCACTCTTTTTTGCATAGCTTAGTCTACCATGGAAGTTGAATATGTAGCTGATTATGGATAAGATTTTAACAAGTTAACATGTACAATTAAATTATGTTTACATTTGATATGCATAGCTTAGTTTATCAAGGAAGTTGAATAAAGAGCCCTAGCAAAAACAACAAAAAAAGCTATTTGATTAAATAGGCTTATCATTAAAATGAGATTAAAATAATGATTTGTCAATTTTTATGTGATGATCAAAATGCGTTACACCTTGCTGCAGATCAAATGATGGATATAAGTATGAAACATATTGATAAGATGTATCATTTTATAAAAGATGCATAATGTGATAAAAGGAATGTGCTAGTCAAGATTAAAGATAAATTCTATCTTGCTGATGTGTTGATCAAAGACTTTACTTTATTGAATTCTAAAAGACATTTTGCACTATATACGTTTTGCATGAGTAGGTTGAATAGAGTTTAGTAGCAATTTATGCTACTTTCATTTATTGTTACTCTATCTTGTTTTGGCTACGTTTATGTTCTAATTAGATTTAAAGTAAAGAGTGTGCTACATATGTTTCCTTCCAAAAATTTCCACAAAATGATTATATACATTATGAAAGTCACTTTTTTCAAGAAATAAGTTAAGAAATTTTTTTCTATTATATTTCAAGTTTTGGATTAATTTTCTATCTTTAGTTTAGTAATAAGATTAGGTTTTAGGCTTAAAGGTTTAAAACTAAATTTTTTGCTACCTTGTATATAAAGATGAGAGAGTCAAAATTTGCATTGAACACTTTGTATATTTTTGTTAATAACAATTTTTTTTTCTCATGAGTGTAATCAAAGAGTAAAGAATCAGGCACTTTTTAGAGTGTTATTTTTCTGTTTGTAATTATTATGAATTTATGTGCATTTTTTGTTAAAAGAAGGCCTTTATGAAGTACAAGTAGACAAGTATTATGTGATTTGATACTACAGACTATTTTCATGGAAATTCAAAAAATCTTTATTGATAAAAATCCCAATGTGTTCAACGGGAGCTTTGGCTTGCTTATTTTCATAGTGAAACAAAAACTTAAACCTCATAGGATTGAGCTTACTGAGTAAATAATGATAATGAAATCATTTATTTCACTAATTTATCAAGATTATGAACTATCAAATTGTTTTCAACATGATATCAATCTCAAAAGTCTATGTCAATTTTATTGAGTAAGTTGCAATATTGGACTCACAAGTTTTTAGGATTATATTGGTAACATTATTTTGAACTTGGTAAGTGAAAATATTTTTTGAATAAAAGATCATATCAATATTTGATATTTTCTATTTACAATTGTGCTTGCAATCTGATGTATGCAATATATATTTCAACTATAAACTAAAATTTTTATAAGGTTTTTTGAATTTGTTTCAAAACAGAAGAATTTTACAAGTATTAATTATCTAACTAAATAGAGTTATACAAGATATTGGTTTAAAGTTTGCAATATCAAGCCTATTTTGATGATGTACACATTGCAATTTCTAAATCAAAATTGATTTCAAAAAATTGATAGATTTATGAACGATGTGAAATGTCAATTATTTATAAAAATATTAAATGAAAAATCTATGTTCATGCATTTCAATATATATATATATATATATATATATATATATATATATATCAATCATATATTGATATATAGATGAGTAATATTCAACTTAAAGTATCTTTATAACGATATAGTGTTAAATATTCTCAGACTTGTACACATTTCACTCATTATTTGAAATTTCATAATGGAAAATTTGAACTTAAAAAATCAAAAAAATCTATATTAGTTAGAAATTTACTTTGAAAAAATCATCACAAAGTCCAAAAGGTATAACCAAACCCAATTTTTTGATTTCCGGAAATGGATATACTGTAGTCAACTTTGCTCTATTTTAAAGCCTCAAAGGTAAGTGAACAACAACATTTGGACTGTATTACTAATGATTGGAGAGTAAGGTAAGTTTCGGAAATACGACACTTCCAAAAAAAGCAATGAACCAATTGATGGCATTGAACGATAATATTCAGTGATCTATACGGATAAATTAAGATTTTCGAAAGTACTTCAATAGATTATCCCTGCGCTCATTACTTAGTTTAAAATATGGTCTAAAATAGATTTGCAACCCCAACCAAGTTTCCCAAGAAATCATACGTTCGATCAATTCAGTCTATGCAGGAACATTGAACAGTAAAAGCCGAAACATGCTCTCACCACAAAAATACGATACACTGAATGTGTACATTGTAAAGAGTGAGTGACGCAAGAGTAAGTAAATGGTAAATAGATGAAGCCCGTGGGACCCAAAGGGTCAAAAGGCTAAAAAACACAATACAACTCCAAACTAAGAGAGAACCAAAAGAACCCCTTAAGAAAACGAGTACAAACTTCAGATTCAAGACTTTCAGTTGTCAAGCATACATTAGTTTTGAACTATAACATATGTGTACAGTGTAGGATCCTCCTGTCTTTATTTTATGGGAGTTCCCTGCTGAATTCTGTGTTCATAAACATCACTCTCTGCAATATTACAACTATGAGGGTGCATTTAACACGATGAAATTAGTAGGAAGAGTAATTCGAAAGACATTAGCCTTTAACATTCTTGATAATATTATATGTCACACATGATCCTAGTACCAATTGGACTGAACTAACTAAAAGCAGAGCCGAACTTTTAAGAAAGAACCATTCAGCTTTGAGGATGACATTTAACGAATGTCACTATAAGAAGAAAGGTTCATGAATAACAGTTGAGGTCATGGCTGGTTAAAATTAATACAGTGAACCAGAATAAGCGCAACCACGATCATCCATACCCATTTTGTCTTGTCGCAGGCAGGCGAAATGCTATGAATCCCTACCCTTAAAATCTTCACCATCTAAAACACGGAAATAATAACTAAAGTGCAGACGCGTAGACTTATTTCATCTCGCAGAAGATATGACGTAGATCAACTGCAGACGCCATTGTAGCAATGGGAGAAACTGTAGGAGGGCAAAAGAGTGAACATGGCCTTCCAATTATGAATGACCTCTGATGTACTGTAAGAGAGTTGGGATCTTTCAAAAGTTCAAGTAATATAGTCAATAGCAATCAAAGGCAAGCGTCGGAAGATGCTGATGATTTTCACTGAGCGATTCAAAGCTTGGTGGACCCAAGCTCATGAACTTTGTAATAAATTGGGGTTGTCAACCCAGGGTAAAGAGCAGGGGCATCATACTCCCGCCGATAGAGCTTGGAGTTTATACGATCTGATTCCATCGTTTCTGTGTTTCCCATGCACAGATGACCTTGCGTGCAGTTTCCGTTTGGAGGGTGTTTCCAGTGGTGTCCTTGCTCGTTTTCCCGCGAATTTTACTCACAAGCTTTTCGGTTGTCGCAAGTAGGAATGGAAGCCCGGAGGGGATCTTCGTATCAACATTCGGAACTTGTGGGTAAGAAACGCTTGCATGAGATTTGCGGGGGCCCCACTGAGTTTGTTGAGTGAATTTACTAGGCGAATCAAATTGTTTGAAACTAACTTGAGATACATATTCATCTCATGATCGTAAAGCCTCGCCCTGTAAAGCTGTAACGTGGGTCCTAGCCCTAACCCTGGTCTCATGTCATGTAAAGCTGTAAATTTTTGGATGGGGTAGTCATATCCAGGTTTCTATAATTTTATTTTTTGTTTCACTTTGACTTTGCCTTGTGAAACTTCGCCACGGACATCGCAGAGTCAAACCGGAGTAGGAGAGCTGACCTTGGAAACTAAAAGCTGAACATTGCGTCTATGTTCACCTTATGTTAGTTTCTTGCATGCTCTCGATTTACGTGTCTCGCAAACTACCTGGTACTTATCCCCAGTAAAATATAAAGGAAAAACGTTCTGATCCTCTGACGAATTGCGATATGAGTTTCATCCGACCAACCTGAGACTGTTATAGAATGATCATTGCCTGCTGTAGTGGAGAACATTGAAAAGCAAAGTTGTTGAAAGAGAAGATCTCTGGAAGGAATGTCGAGAAATTTCGAGAGCATGTTATCAGCAGAAGAAAAACATTGCTTTCTTCATATTTATGAAGAGGATCAGCTGGAGTATTTGAAACTGCGTCCCTCACGAGAAACACCCTGTAAGAACTGGAAACTGATCGACCTTACTGTCGTGCTCCAAGTCATCATTCTAATATATGGACCAACAGGAGGTCTAGCCCATTTCCAGGCTCAGTGCCGTGAGTAAGGGAGGTGGATCGATTAGCTAACTTCCGACGATTGGAAAACAAGCTGGATCTTATCTTCGAGTTGAAGCCTGGAGAAAATGAGGAGTCAAGGCCTCACAAAGAGCTCAAAAGATCAAAAAATACCGATCACTTTTCCTCATCTGATTGATGTTCAGGCCAATCGGGAACACAGAGGGAAAGTGATATCCTCCCCGATGTCAGGTCTTTTCTTTGGGCATGAGAAGAGGATGGAATATGAGGCCCGCCTTGTTCAGGTGGTTACCCTGTTCATCAGGCATCGAAGCGGGGTCGAAATTGGTCTTTCACTGTAAATGTCGGGATAGATGTAATGAATTCGGAATTCGCGCCATGGTTACTGCGGTTTGGTCTGGATCTCTAAACGGATAATCAACTACGAACTTTAAACGTGAAGACCTGATGTGGTGTGTATGCAGGTTTATAGGATTCGTCTTGGATGCCAGAGAAAGTCATAAAGTTTCCCCGGGCTTGGGTGTATTTGTAATCTACCGGTGAAATCTAACTGCGTTTAGTAGGGTTTTTTAGATTCCAACGTGGGGAGGTATGCATGTTATCATCGGTCGGTTGGAGCTTTTATGTATATTCAAATCTTGATAGGTCCTGATAGGGCCCATAGTAATCATCGCCGGCGAGTCATAATCTGATCCGTCCTTTGTGTTTGTCTCCTTTTAGGTTGTCAGGGTCTTTTAGGATATAGCTTCTTTCGTCACATCTCACATATGTTACAATGAATGAATCAATTGGAACCAGTTTGATGCTCAACACTGTGATCATATTCAGTGCAAAGGACCGACGTGCTTGTCGGCGTGTGGAGAGAATCCTTGTCTGCCTGTGCATCTCCATAAACTGTCGATTTCCGAAGTGTACCTAGAATCATACCTCGACATTGAATGTTCAATTCACAGCCAATTTGACTCATCGTTCAATTCACTAAGATCTCATCAGGTTCATTCTTTAAAACAAAAACAACGCAGATCAGATCCAAGTGCACGCGTTCGCCTGTCAAATACTACTCTCAACATGGAGAACAGGATTAAACAGCTTACTCCAGTACAGCTCTTTTATGGACATGTGTAAAACCTACAGTGAGACTCACAAATGTTCGTAATAAGAGTCAGCTGGTATACAGGAATTGAAGACTTTTTCAAACCAGGTACGGGTGTTCCCCTCTTTTTTCTCCCATCTTCTGGCAATTACTTCTTGAGCATAAGCTCGGGAGATACGGAAGGAATTATAACTTTCGTTACAATGCACAAGCGAAATAGGTCAATCGACAGTAGGCAGGCCACTCTCAGTACTGCAAAATGTGAAGCTCTTGCCGCCGACGTGTACGCGAAGAATAACCTCGGAGCCAGATTCGAATGCATGTAGCGAGAAGAAGTGGAGGTATTCACCTTGTGACGAGACCAACAATGAACGCACATCTTCAGAACTCCAGCATACCTGTAAGTTGTAGACAAGTCTGGAGGCGTTTCTCCTGATTGCACGTCCATATGGGAAGTGGCAAAGAACCATAACAGTGCATGGCCCACCACACATTAACCGCCTTCGTCTTTGAGTATCGCAAATGATTCCATTTTAGGTTGGTGGCAAAGCAAGAACCTTGGAAAACCTGTTAAAACTACACGTCGAGGAAAGCAGGGCGGAAACCAATGAGCCATTGTGTGACTTATTGCCTGTACTCCTATGTAAGTACAGAAGCAAAGGCATGATATGAGACGAAATGATGATTTTTCTGTGTCGCTTACTTTTTCCTTGAGATTTCCAGCTTGTTGTGGACAGCAAGGGGCAGAGGAGCAATGTCCGTTCGTTAGATCCAGCGTCCGGTCAAATCAAGTATTCCTCGGTAATCTTAAAAAATCCTATGCAAGTATATACTTCTGACACCCACGAGGACAAGTGGATCGACAGCATTGGTCTAAGGAATAGCAACACCGATCCTAAACCAAATCGAGAGAGGCAACAAGACAACAAAATGACAACTTCCACCATATGATTGCCACCTTTAGCAAGCCGAATAGAAAGACAACACGAGAGCAGGGATGCTCCAACTCAGGTGACGTGCCCGACAGCTGGTTAGGATGGCGTGAAGCAGTTGAGAAGGCTCTGAAATTCCTGCTCCACTCACATAATGAGTCTGCTTCAGCTTTCCCAATAGGCCGGTTCTTGGTCACCCAGCCGTCCGTATGTGCCCTCATGGCTACGACTTATAGTTATACTGATCGGATGTGGTCACATCAGGGAAGGCGAGGCATTAAGAGCAGTAGCTTATAGGGATTGCAGATACCAGGCCAACCACTGGAAGTCATGCTGTCTCTTGCACTCTGACGTTCATCATGGTGGGAAAGGAAGCTGGGAGGCACAGAGAGTTGAATATCCAAATCTATAAGCATTTGAAGTCGCACACAATGCAGCTCGAGCGCTGGCTGAGGTTTGTTACCTGTTTTGGCTCGGGGATGAACAGCAAGGACGGGTTGTGAAAGACCTCCCAGCTTCGGAAAGCAGGTGCCATTGTACTTTACACGTGTTCGCCTCGACTGCTGCGGTCGGTGGTGGCAAATCCGATCCTAAGATGTGACACTTATGGCAGTGCCACCGCATCGAGCAAGGACGCAAAGCACAGACCTCTGCCTGGATGCTTGCACCTGCTCCCCTTGCTCTTTGAATTATTAATGCAGAGCCTCGGAAATGTCTGTAAAGGATTCAGGTCTTCAACAGTCCGTAAGCATTCATCGGTGCAGAGCAGAACTTTTCACTTAAACAGACTTTCCTGTAGTATAAGAGTAGCACCTTCTTCGATATGTGGAGTTTGATCTTCTAAGGAAGGAAGCAGCAGTAGTCTCATAAAGGTGGGCTAAGTTCTGTTATTAGCGCTTGAATCAGAATTTCTGTAATTGCACCTTACAGCGCATATCACTAGTTGTTCCAAGGGTTGACAGCCGTTAAAGGGACTAAGAGCGGATTCTCGAGATAGCCAGAGTGCAATGGACCAGGTTGAATCTAGATCCAACTTGCGTGAGAGGCGTTCGAACGTGGATTCCACCGAGACAGAGGAAGAAAGTGGTGTGTTGAAAGGTTTAATTTCTGATACAATCAGTAGTAAGGCGGAGCGACTTGGACAGGAGGTCAAGAAAGGATACGAACTTGTCAAGTTTCAAGCTCTGCCTGAACACTTGAGGGATAACGAATTTATTTATAAGCACTACCGCGCTAATTGGCCTCTCAGGGAAGCACTTGGAAGCATCTTCTCCATCCACAATGAGACACTCAACATTTGGACGTTAGTACCTCATCTCTTTATTCCTTCCAGTCATCTTTAGAACGTCAGATTGTTTTCCTTTGATGAATTTGAAGTTAGGAGACTTATCAAATCGGTTTCGTAATTTGCGAGTTTTGGAATATTGACAGTGCGCTCATGACCAAGTCAAGCAATCTATTATGTTTGATGGTTGCATTTTGTAACCAAAGTTGCGTTTGGCTAGTGCCATCCGTGTCGCTGATGATCTGATCAAATAAACTCACTTTATTGCCTTGATAATCACTACATTCGATCATCAAGGGATGGCTGTAAGTTTCCAGCATTTCATTACTGAGTTCGACCAACAGTAGAAAGTTTTTCTAATCTCTTACAGTGCCAAAGTAGTGCGTGGAAAAAAATCTTCGGTTCGATGAACATTCCGCCTGTACGCAGACGAAGTTAAGATCACCGGAATTTGGATGTTATTGGCGCTCGAAATTATTTATATATCTTCGTTGCCCTTACTAATTTAGAATCCTTGATGATTCTCGTTTCAGGTTTTACTCATGAATCTAGTTTTAAGAATCCTGAACAAACAAATGCGGAGCAATTACCCGAACATGAAAGAAGACTTTTTCCAGAAAAGCTGATAATATGTCACCTCTTGTCAGGTCGTTCAGATTGTGAGTCACGCAGTTATAAATCAGTATGTTTACATGGTCATGTTGTCCTACTTGCAGGCATTTGCTGGGATTCTTTCTGTTCATGGGCCTCACAATCTACACCGCTATGAAGATGCCAAGTGTTGGTGAAATACCCGGAATGATGCAACGAATGTCTAGCTTTCAATGGGTACGTTAACTGCAGATTGTGATGAAAACTTTCAACTTTATGCAGTTTAGGAAGGCAGCTTGCCTAAGTCCACATTGCCTCCCCAAAAATCGGTCCTCAATCCACTACGAGTTTCACGATGTTATCAGGCAATCTTGAAGGATGAACTTTTTTCCAACAATTTTCAGCTCGATTAGATTTTTCGGTAGCAGCATAATTGATTCCTTGACCTAGGTTCTGTTAACTTTGTATTCATACACTTCGCATGACATCAACAATTGAAGGGGCTGTGAACTCTTCCGTATCTGTTATCAGTTGAGTTGCTCATGACAGTTACTGTGTTTGGAAATTGTTACAGAATTCCGTGACTTCTGATGAATTGACCAATCTTGTGGCTCCCGAGCCACAAAAGCCGATCAGCAGATGGCCGTTTTTCGTGTTTCTGAGTGGAGCTATGTTCTGCTTGCTGTCGAGCAGTATCTGCCACCTGCTGTTGTGCCACTCTCAACGCGTGGCTAATCTCCTCCTGAAACTGGACTATATCGGCATCGCCTACTTGATTGCAGCTTCATTTTACCCACCCGTGTACTATACGTTCATGTGTAATCCTACACTTCGGAACACATATCTTATTGGTATCACATGTCTTGGATTGCTGACCGTTGCGGTATCGTTGCTTCCAATGTTTCAAACTCACCAGTTTCGACCATTTCGAGCAATTTTGTTTGCAAGTATGGGAATCTCTGGCATAGTCCCCTGCATTCACAAGCTGCTGCTCCATTGGGGTGAACCAGCTGCTCAGACTACCTTCTATCTTGAACTAACGATGGGTGGTTTATATGGTTTGGGAGCTGTGATCTATGCTACCAGAGTCCCAGAGCGATGGAAACCTGGTCACTTTGATATTGCGGGCCACAGTCATCAGCTTTTCCACATCTTGGTGGTGGCTGGGGCTCTGACTCACTATAGAGCTGGGCTTCTGTATCTCAAGTGGAGAGATGCACAGGGTTGCGAGGGGATGTAAGCCTTTGTCTCCGACAGTGCTGGTGTTATCGTCAGCAACTCTTTGATGAAAATTTTAGAAATCATTAGTTCCAATTGTGGCTCCCTCATTGGACGGCCTCTTTTGACATTAACTATGACCGGATTCAAACACTTGTCAGCTATTGACTTTAGCAGTAAAGTTGTACATACGAAGATGTCTTAACACGATATACGTGGTTGACCATCTCATTTTCATGGAGATGGTTGTGGCGATCTTGAGTTGGACGAAATTTTGTTGTCTTTGTATCTTTGTGTTCTGACGAGGCAGAGACAGGATAGGCCTCTTCTATGATCTCTGTAAAGTTATGGGTTCAACTGTTGATCTTCAGTAGCAAAGAATCTGAAAAAAATAAATTAACACTTACTTCATTCGGATTTATCCGATAAATGTTTAACGCTGAAAGTCTGAAGATTTTGTAGATCAAAGTTAGTGCCAAAATTGTTGTCTAAAACATTCAGCGTTTCTTTCTCGCAGACCAAAATGCCGATAATTTTCCTTTTTTCATTTACATCGCGTTCTTAACCTGATCTCAAAATCATTTTCGGATGATTTGGAACTGTACCTGCCTTGATGGGTCTGACATTTCCTTAAAGTTCCTCACGTACGGGAAGGTGTGACCTCACGAAGCTCGACTGTGAGAATCAGGACAATATGTGGTAGGGCTCTATTTTCTTGGGTGAGCGGGAAGTGTTCCTCCACGGGATGATTATGATCGTAAAGCTCTTTTGCCTCTGTCAAACTTATTGCTAGCTCCCTATTCTCTTCACTATCTGCCAATTTCAGTTATTTGTGATTGCAACTACAAACAGCAGAATGGTGCTAATCTATTCGTCCATGCTCTGTACCTAACATGTCGTCGTCTAGTTCAATATTGTTTCTACAGATGTTCAGATCGTGGGAGCTGCTGCATTGATGCGCCTAACTGTCCACTGTAATCTGCACTAATCTGCACTACATTCTTTTCATATTGCCCAACTGTCTAACGTTCTAGTGGTCCAATACTGAGGCGTGTTATCTGTACACTGTATGATAACGGTCACAAACTTACTGTTCGCAGAGAGCGCATCTCACATGTGTCGCTCGACCTGTTCACCACTGCAGTTGTTTCCCTGTTGCAAGACTGGTTGTGCCCTCTGCTCTGCCCCGTTACTAATCTCCGTGTTTGCTCCTCTTGATTCAAACCCCACTCCAGCTCATTTTCCCGAGTCGGTCACTGGCAAGCGACGTACTCTGCAAAGAATGCGTTATACAAACTAGACATAAAACATAAACTTTCAACCAAATGAACCGTTATGTAGGCGTTATTTTTCTCCTTGGGATTTCTATACTGTACTAGGCAATAGCACCTCGCTTGAAAAGTGCTACAACTTAGTGAACTCTCCGGTGAAAGAAAACTGTTCTCGAGTGACAACAGCCAGGTCATTGAAACGAGAAGTCATTGATATCTACAGTTCACATTACCAGCATCCAGCGAATGGCACTCTCCATCCACAGTAGCGACCGAAGTGAAGTGGAACGAGATGAAATCTTGTCTCACATGCAAATTCAGAAGTTATAATGGACTATCATGTTCGGTCACTAGACAAATTAGTAGCACAATTTATACAGATGACAAATTGTTTCAATCATTCCAATGTCATGTGAACCTTCATACTCATCCTGTAAAATGTATCCTCTATGTACTTAGGATAATCTGGTCATTATGCATTGAAAGCAATGTTCTATTCAGAAACAAGAAATGAAGAGTGCAATTTTGATCGCTCAATGTGTCGTCTACTAAAGTACCTTGAATATACCACCACGAGAGGTACGATGAGATGAGAAACGATTCAGGTCTCGGTCTTCGTCATCGACATACAACTTCTTAAAGAGAAAACGTCAAATGTCAAACGTCAATCGATCATATACATCCCTCGAGCCTATGCTAATATTGCTCGCCCAGTTAAGTGCAGGTATAACACTGTATCGCAGTCGCAACTGAGATGCAGTGCAGTTTAGTTGTAGTCCGGACTGCTGTTAAGAGGCCCCCACAAGGATTAGTTTGTAACTGGGTCCCAGAGACAGAGTGTTTTTTACCGGTGTTATGGTACAGCCAGTCAGACAAAATAACACCTTCTAGGATGGCAAGCACGAAGCACAGGCTGTAGCTTAGTGGCAATAGTCAAAGACAGTGATGTTCACATACCAAAATAGCAGCTCCAATGTCGTCATAGTAACAAAAAGTGCATCGTTATTATTGGACGTGGAGTAATTGTTTCGACACGAAGTGAGGCAGTGAAGCACTGTGAAGTCACATGCAAACGGATGAGATGAGACTTTGATCACTTTGCTAGATGAAAGGAGTACTCTGTATAGTCATTACAAAAGTCAACTTCAAATAATCCTTGCCTTATCTATGATATCTTTGATTATCAATTGCTGGAATCACAACTTCTCTCTGATCAATGTAACTGTCTCCAGAGCGGGCGCGAAGTGGAAGAAAGTGACCACTGCATAGATTTGTAGACCCGGGTACACTGCCAACGCCAGACACGTTAGTAACACGAATAGCTCAAGTGCTATGAGCGTATAAATCAATACGACGTTGACGGCTTCAAATCATACCATTTAAGTTTGAGCAATCTTTTGAGAGATTTGCTTGATGGGATCCCTGCGGAAAGGAGTACTCTGTATAGTCATTACAAAAGTCAACTTCAAATAATCCTTGCCTTATCTATGATATCTTTGATTATCAATTGCTGGAATCACAACTTCTCTCTGATCAATGTAACTGTCTCCAGAGCGGGCGCGAAGTGGAAGAAAGTGACCACTGCATAGATTTGTAGACCCGGGTACACTGCCAACGCCAGACACGTTAGTAACACGAATAGCTCAAGTGCTATGAGCGTATAAATCAATACGACGTTGACGGCTTCAAATCATACCATTTAAGTTTGAGCAATCTTTTGAGAGATTTGCTTGATGGGATCACTGCGGAAAGTAATTTGCTTGATGGGACACTCAGGTTTAGTTTTACCCGATGGGATCCCAACGACGGTGTGCCGTCGGACATAGTTCTTGTAACTACAATTACTACTAGTTACAATGCGAGAATTACAATCAGAGATCAATCCCTGATTATAATTTCTGGTGGATTATCACGGGTACAAAGATCGATTTTGCTCGAAGTGCAATTTGTTGTCCTTCAATTCTTCCGATCGTAAAGATTCACGGATTTCTCTGTTGCCTCCCACCTGCACACTCCTTCCGTAACCCTGCGTGGTCTGAGCTCAAATCTCAAGTCTCGCAATCACCCATTTGTGGCGAACAAATAAACTCCGGATGAACATTTCTTTGCTCGTATCCTTGTTTCCGGTCACTCTCCAAGGAGATTGGCCGGATACAGAATGACAACATAAAAACAAGTGAGTGTGATGGAGTGCGAAGTCCACTCTGTCTGCGGGTGCGGTGTACTCGTTACACTCTCTATAGTTGTTATTAGAACATGGGTGACGGTGCATCGTTCATGAGGTCCCATAGGGTAAAATGAAACCTGAAGTGTCACATCAAGCAAATTACTTTCCGCAGTGATACCATCAAGCAAATCTCTCACATCTTTTCAATCAATAGTGATTAAGATATGGTTAGAGCCTAATTGGGGTGGGATGCGCATGGAATAAAAATCGGGATGAAATAATATCCCTACAAACATTTGGAATATGTTCTCATGTTATTCCGCTACCCGTTACTCCCGTAGGAACAGTGCGTCCGGACGAGAGCAGGAGTTACGTTAGAAGAAAGCAGTTACTTTTTACACTCGGTGCTTTATAGAGGTAGGGCAAGTAGGACTCGCCGAGTAGTTTGAAAAGGAGTTGGTCGGGGATGGTACACGGTCATTGTCCGCGTAAACCAAGAAAGGGTCCATCTTGAGAGTGGTGATATTTGGGTGAAGCCTTTGCCGGTCACCGAGCGAGCTGCGTCGAGAAACGTTCGGACGCGACATATCCATTCGTACGGAGAATCGACTCCAGAATATCAGAACCTGCATGAAATAGTTGGGGTACCTGTCCTAATGCCGCAATAATATCCGAATGTCCTCCAGAATATTACGTGCATATACTGCGGGAGGCAAAGTACTCGGTAGTTGCTGGAGTTACAAACCACGGCAGCTCATCGCGATCAACGCTCGTCGTACGTCCCACCTCTTCCCTTTCTCGTTGACCATCGTCCGTTCACTGACTCGCGGTGAGGTGAGGTCAGCTGAAGGCAGGCGCTCGCCCGCCCGCCCGCGCGCTTGCCCGCTTAGATCCGTCCGCGCTTCACGTCGCTGGCGCCTGGAAGACAGAGCATTGCCGGCGCATGTGACGTGGACACGCCAGGGTCCAGTCCGAATGTTTTCACACCCGCCTCTCCTTCGCGGAACGTGGAGCTCGCCCGCTAATCGCTCCACAAGTGCATTCCCCTTCTGGCAGAGAGAATTTAATAATTTCTATGCAAAACGTTTGCTGCTGTCAGGCTCCTGTCACCGGTACGCTTTACTGGAAGTCCTCTCTCGGCGGTGAATCCTTTCCCTGCTAGCGGGTGAGTGTCACCCACTCCACAACGGGGCCGCGGGAGGAACGACAAGTCACATGGTCTGCCCCGGGTGCTGACCGGGTTTAGCAGGTCGCAGGGCACCGGCGCTGCAGGTGCGCAGCATCTTGGACAGTCATATTCGGACGCTGGTGAGAAAGAGCGGAATTTACTGTGATTTCAGTTTGAGTCCGGTGTCCAGAGAAAGAGAAGTTGATGTGGGGGCAGAAGGTGGTTGTTGGATTGCGACCTGAAAGCGGGAGGAAGCTTGAGTGAGCGCAGTGAGAGTGGAGTGTATGTTCGTGAGGGAGTGAGAGTGGTGGGGGAATGGAGGTGCAGAGCGCGATGGACCAGAGCTCTGCGCACACTGAATTCCCGACGAATTTGCGCGAGAGGCGCTCGAATGTGGATTGCGCGGTCAGGGACAGCGATAGCAACCAGGGAATGTCCAAGTATGTTCCGGATTCGATAAGTTCCGGAGCCCAACGACTGAAGCGGGAAGTGAACAAACGATACGAGCTGGTTAAGTTTCAAGCTCTGCCTGAGCACTTAAAGGATAATGAATACATTTTTAAGCACTATCGCGCTGATTGGCCTATCAGGGAAGCACTCGGGAGTATCTTCACCATTCACAATGAGACACTCAACATTTGGACGTCAGTTCCTTTCCTCTCCTTTTCTTCTCTTCTTCGGTGATTCCAATACCATGTGACCCCTGTTCCTGCATATTTTCCCCAGTCACGATCTCCCGACACAAGTCCAAGAGATTATGGTAGCACTTGGTCGGCCGATTGTGATACACTTCTTCATGCCCCTCTTTCTTCGATCTTATATGATGAATTTTGTCCTACACTCTGGGTTGTGCAAGGAGCTAGCCGTGGAGATTCATTGGGATTAGCACTGTGCCCTTTTCCTTTCGACGAGATCCCCAGCCATTTGGATTATTTGACACTCACAGATCAGCTGCTTAGATTAGATTCTATGAGTATCTATTGCGAAGATGATCAGTCGTCGAAGCTTAGGTTACACCCCTACGACTAACTTTAGCAGCAGCTCAGCAGGACGGTGTTCGAAACCCGCAGTAGTAAATTTGCAGACAATGCTAACTTCTGCCAAATCGAACCGCTACATCTAGAACGTAGAAAGATGATCAAATTTGGACTTTATGTCTTTGAACTGCCATCAATGAAACTCCCGCGTCCATACAGAAGCATACTAGCAGTATAGGAGCGATCCTCGCATTATCTTGATGAGATGAAATTTGCACCTTGCTGCTGGTTGCTTGTAGCACGATCAAGAGTGTACTCAAAAGATCCTTGTCACTCACCTTACGTTATTCGGTAGTCTTCGTCTGGCCATATTTCTGAAGATTTTTTGAAGTCCTGTGACGTTTCCGAATATATATATCACATTCTGTGTTAATCGGTTACGCAGTGTGGTTTCGTGGCAAATCTTTGCCACGGTTTGAAGCAAGTAGTGGTGTTACATGAGACCTACCGTCTGACCAAAAGTTGTTGCTCGTGCAGCCATTTGTTAGGGTTTTTTGTGTTCATGGGTCTCACCATCTATACTGCCATGAAGATGCCGAGTTATGGAGAGATACCTGGCATGATGCACCACCTTCCCAATTTCCAGCAACTCAGATGGGTACGCATTTTTTATTATTATTACTTTGCAAACCTAATCTGACGATGTTCGTAAAAGGTTGTAGCAATCGGTAAGTGCTATGAATTTTTCTGGACTCAGTTACAATTATATCAATTCAAGTAACAAGTTGCTGAAACTGAATCCTGTGCTTGTTGTAGTACCCAGGAAGTACAGTGTTAAAGTTTTAGATATGAGCGAAGATCTTTCTCTTATGAAGACCCAAGTACTGAGACTGAATGTTGTTATTTTTCTCCCCGTTTTTTGCAGCAGTCTGTGACTGACGAGTTGACGAATATGGTGGCTCCTCAACCCCAAAAGCCTATCAGTCGATGGCCATTCTTCGTATTCCTAAGCGGTGCCATGTTCTGCTTGCTCTCGAGCAGCATTTGTCACCTCCTTTATTGCCATTCTCAACGGATGGCAAATCTTCTTTTGAAACTTGACTACATCGGTATTGCCTATTTAATTGCAGCTTCCTTTTACCCGCCCGTGTACTATACTTTCATGTGCAATCCAACTCTTCGGAACACTTACTTGATTGGTATCACATGTCTCGGATTATGTACTATAGCGGTATCTTTGATGCCAATGTTCCAAACTCACCAGTTCCGACCATTCCGAGCAATCTTATTCGCGAGCATGGGGATCTCTGGCATAGTCCCTTGTGTTCACAAGCTGCTGCTACATTGGGGTGAGCCTGCAGCTCAGACGACATTTTACCTCGAGATGACAATGGGTGCTTTATACGGACTAGGAGCGGTGATTTATGCTACCAGAGTGCCTGAGCGATGGAAACCCGGTCACTTCGACATCGCTGGCCACAGTCATCAGCTTTTCCATGTTCTTGTTGTTGCCGGAGCATTGACTCATTACAGAGCCGGTCTTCTCTATCTCAAGTGGCGAGATGAACAGGGATGTGAGGCAATGTAAGTTTTAGCTTGCTTTTGAAATGCTGGTGTTATCGTCAGCTACATTTTCTTTGTAGAGATTTTTAGCCCAATCGTGGGTACGTCATAGGAAGGTCTGTGGCGCCATCGACTCGGTAACCAACAATTTGACATTTTTTGTCACTACCTCATGTTTGAAATTAAGAGTGTATATAGAATAAATTCTTAAATGAATCATCGCGTTCAATGATACGGTGGAGAGATTGATGTCTCAGTTTCTGTTTTTGTCACTTCAAGCCCGCTTGTTGGGCTTGAAGCAGTTACATTTTGATGATCTAATTTGGTTAGGCCATCTCTGTGATTTCTCAGTTCTCAGTCTTCTAAGACACTTTTGCATTCAAAGATGGAATTGCACTTAACTTTCAGTATATTTTGTTCTTTACCGCTGGCCTTTTTGGACAGTATCATATGTTCTCAAATGTTAGCACGCATAAGAACAGAGCTGATGATCAGCTCAGGTGTTAGTACTTATTGTTCTCTAGACTAATCTCAAACACTGTGCAGTAAGAATATACGTTCGTAGCCTCTTCTCAAGCTCTCCTTAAACTCGAGCTGTTACGGGAATATATAAGTTCTTTATAAGTGACTCAGGCGTAAGGCGACATGAACATCATATCGTCTTCAAGAGGCCCGATGAACGTAAGGATTTGCTGAATGTTTGCACACCTGTCGGTGTCTGCGCTGTAAATCGTTACGTCATACATTGTAGATTGAACTTCAAATGTTGTCTATTATTTAAAATAAGGTTCTTCGTTCTCGTTGTGGTCTTCAAAAGGCAGTGACAGGATGCGCGGTTCCTACTTTCCCGTGATTTTGGATTCGTAAATCAGGAACAGCTTCCCCCTCAGAGGGTCTGTTCGATCCTTTGGCTTTTACTCATGATCAGTAGGAATATGGCTACTCTTTAGCGCTTCTCAAGATGCGTCTGTAGTCTTGCTTGTGGCTGTCTAATTTTCGGCATTGAAAGCGTCTCACTTTTCGCCATCTCCGGTAGAAGCAATGGAGGTTTGGAAGTCTGAAAGTTGAAGTTGTTATCCCAGTGTGTGGTGCGTCTCGTAGACTCATGGCCTCAGCACAACTGGAAAAAGCGAGAAAGAAAAATTTAGAGACAGTCAGACTCGAAAATCAACGTGAGATATGTAGTAGATTGTGCTCAAGCACAGACTTTGAGCTGAAACCCCTTGGGCTGTGGTTTCTAGTATTTACTTTAAAAAAGATAACACCAAAATAGCCGTGTGACGGAAAACCCACGTGATTATGAGACAAATTACCCACAAACTCATCCTTCGTGAGCCAACTTGTAGGGAAGGCCTACCGGGCAAATGTAGGTCAATTCGTACATAAACCAAGATCTTGAAGTAAATTGAAGCGCAAATTCCTGGCATTCATCGAAATTGTGCTCATTGGTTGAGCAGTGTGCCGAAATAAAGTTTTCTCGGCGGAGAATGATGGAAGGGCCCGTACTTTCAGCTGAGCTTTGCTGATATTAAAAACTTACATCGTGGAATTGTTGCCTTGGCTTTCAACTTTTGACTTTCTTTCCGATACGTTTAGGAGCTAAGCCTTGTCGCTTGCCATCTTCGCATTACAACTGACGGTGAATTTATGAGAGGAACGACTTACGAATCGCGAGACAATGAAGGACAAAGACGCTTGCTAACTGCTGTGGATATTTCTCTGTCAGAAGACAGAAAGATAGATGCTCTAAAATCCTTCGCGCACATTTGAAGTGTATTGTATACTTACGCATTAATTTGCAGATTTTTTTTGGACTAAGATCAATAATATTGTCAATAGATGTCGTCTCGTAATGTTAACACATAAGTTATATGCCTCGTCTAAATGTATGATAAAACTCGTAGACTACTCGAGTACCAAGGCGAACAGTCTGACTGGATTGTACCGCGCCCTCCCATATTCTGATATGTACCTAAACTTAGAAAAAAGCCAAGAGTTATCAGCGAAGCAACATGGAAAAGGTTACAACACACATCAAAATTGTACTCGATGTCTTATCTTAAAAAGTGCATCGGTTGGTTGGCAAAGAATCAGAATGCACATCGTCCTAGAAGCTGAACGACATGTGAGCGAGTGGAGTACCTTGATAATATGTTGGACTTCATTACTATTGCCAAAGCATCGACTACACGGGACTGAGCAGTCAATGCCTTGACAGACGAAGACGTTCTGAAAATGGTTAAAATCATATCTCGTTGCTGGAGTAATCAGAAGATAACAGGAACTGCAGACTGCGATGCAAAAGCAGCGTGCCCATGCCGATTGACGTTGATCGAGATCGTCTACTCATCTCTTATACCTTTGGACATGTCTAAAGGTATAAGAAATCTTATGTCATGTAAGCTTGTTCAACTTGTCACTGTGAGTCTCAAACCGTCGAAGTGTCCAACATTGCTTCTTGGCACACCAGTGATACGTCCTTCTAGGTTGATACTCAGTCTCTCTATTAGACGTTATATGTTCGATACTCTCATGGGCAGAATGAGCCACGCAAGTTTCGAACTGTACATATAAGAACGAAGAGAGTTGGCCGCTTCCGATGTTGGCTCGATTTACGAAACTTCGGGATCCAAAGATTTGTTCAATTTTTCAAATGTCATGTTCGTCAACTTCTTCGGATGTGAAAGTTGCACTGCATTATCAGAGTCGATAGTACATAAGTGTAATCCCTACCCTTCACTGCTGCGATGGATGTTGTGTTGTTGATCTCTGGGAAGAAAACAACATCGTCCAACAGCTTCATGAAGTGTTTCTCTACGACTCCATACCGATCAGGTGTCAGATGGATGGTGTCCAGGGTAGGCCCGAACGCAACAGGCCTGTAGAGCGATTTGTCGAGTTCCACATCCTGCAGTCAAAATTTTGCAATGTCCACGTGATTTTAGCACCGAAAACGAGTTTCTAACTCTCTGCATGTCACCACAAAGCAATTCAAAAATTGTTTTAATAAACATGTTCATATCACAAGCAAATATTCCTCTGAATGAGATCTGTCGAGAAGAACTTTCATGATGTTTTGCTCTTTCAGATATCCTGAAGTTGGAATCGCCGAGTCTACATTGATGAAGACCAATGTAAATTGATAGTTCTTCGCAATTTAGGACTGAATTTAATGGTCCAATCCACAATCATCAACATGCGAGCTTGCTGAGATTTACGACTCTAAGACAAAAGGCTGAAGAACTCAAAAGATGAGACTACTTGTACTCACCAAGACTAAGTTGAAAAAGGAATCAAACTCCAACTACCAAACAAATATGTCCTGATTCAGTGGAATTCTTACTGTTCTATCGACGGCTCTGAATGGTGGAAATTGTAGCTCATTCCTTAGAGTTTGGTAGAAATTGTCGCCTTGCAATGGCATCACAGCGGACATATAGACCGCGAGCTGTACTTTCTCTGGGTATAGCTCCATATAGCTCTGGAAATGCCTATACCTCTCACGCTGTGTCCTATCACAATTAGCTGGACATAATCACTCAAAAACTCCTTTTGGTAAGAAAATGAACAAGATATGGCACATGAAATGCAATCCAAAATTTTAACTGGCCTAAAAAGCTGGCTTAATGGCTTATGAACACCAACTTGCAAATGTTGCTGTGTGTAGCAAACAGAGATTAGTAAACGAAAGAGCTGAGTGCGTCTAAGCTTGGCATGAAGTAGAAGTATAACCAACAAAGTCGGCGGCGCTTGGACGTTCTACTTGAAAATAACTTCTTCACTTCTTCATAATAACGTGAGCCTCAGCTGTCAAAGCAGAGGCTCACGTTTTTCTTATCAATGAAGTTTGCAACGAGGTCGACCAATGGCTGTGTCAGCTACGCAGTTATAGTCACCCAGTTAGCATCCGCCGGGTGAATACCGGCAGCAGCAAGATCAGTGCCAACTGCGTCGAACCCCTATTGTTTGAGTTCTGACATGATCTTGAACCAACACCAACTACCCATGCCGGCTCCATGTACTAACACAAAGCGTTGGTTTGCATATCTGCATTCATCCAACATTAGCAGAGGAGCTGTAAGTCGAAAACTGTGGTCGAACTCTACGTACTGCAATAAGATTTTCATTTATCTTGACAAAATTTATTGAATCAAGAGCTAGCTTCCACTCGAAAACAAGAAGAGAGGGAGACCACAGTTGCTTACCTCAGGATAATCGGACTCAGATGGTAGAGATCTTAAAATGAAAATGAAGGCGTCTTGCCAATGTGACATTACTGCCCTGCTTTGTCATAGTACAGGTAATAAGACTCAGGGCGTCCAGTTATGAAAAATACGACTCGGCCTTTGAGAGTTAGGAAAGAGAAGTCTTCGAGTAAATAGTAGCAAATATAGTACACGAAGCTTGAAAAATTGATGCTCTAGGCTTAAGTGCGAGACACTGACTTTAAAAGAACGCTTCCAGCGTCCAACAATTATACTCTTGTGATCACTTCAGATTGCTCAGAAAGAAGGAAATCTGATGCCTGAGAATGTTAAACGTTGAGCTCATTTGTTCCAGAAAGCTAAGGTGAATACAGGCTTCCACTCTTGATGCCAGACGAGGCCTTTCCGAGAGGCATCGAAAAGACTACAGTTGTAGTCTTTTCGATGAGGTAAGCAAAATCTTGGCCATTTCTAGCAGACTATGCGGGACGGCTCTTCACTGTCCAGAGCGTGTCAAATGGTATTACATGTGGCTGTTTAAGCGGATCACCTCCTGCTTCTACGAGTCCTTTGGCCGCCATTGGTTATCACATGAATTAGTATCCGGATAGCACTTCAACGGTATAGGAGACATCCAACTCTTGATGATGAGCAATATATGTCAAACAATATTCTCAGGATATCTAGAGTGCTGTCAGTTTGATGGCACTGAGCATATGTCTGTTGGATAAGAGGATCACAGGAAGCACTCTATTAAACTTGGGACTTGGTCGAAAGTCCTGCATTTTGTTCCTACGCATCATACCCCTGTTTGAAATGCTTGATGTCATTCCTCCTCCACCATTGATTTTATCTGAATGTCACATACATCTCGAAGCGCTACTTATAAATGTCATTCCGCAAGCCTTACAGATTAGGTTCTAGTAGCATCCTCAGAGCTGGAGTCGTTGTCTTAAGATGTCGGCATACTTCGGTTGAAGAACTACACTATCAAATTTGTCTAGCATCGTCGAATCTGTGCGTATCTCATTCTCTCTCATTATTCAATGTCTTCAACTGTCTTGTGATATCATAGTTTAGAGTAAATTGGGATAAGCTCTTTCTAACGTGTGAGCCCAGCTGATGTACGGTAACCTAACATTTTTCAGCTGCAAAATCGACCCAGGAATGTGAATCTGCTTCAAAGCCTTG